GATTGGCTACTTCTACACTTATACTTACTGATATCATGGATCATAAACAGACAAAAAAAAGGGCATTCTCTCTAAATATTGAACAAATGACAATTTAAGAATATTCAATGAATGTTTACATTCAATTATTTCGAACAATGCAGGTTCATATTTTTATTACTTCCTACTTCTTGTATGAGTGTCACACTGTCACGGTGATGATAAATATTGAAATATTCTGAATAGGAGAGTAAATATATAATAATCAGATTTTTTTTTTTTAAAAGAGTATGTGCTAATGGTTGAATGAGCGGCATTATTAATCTTGTAGGTTGACACTTTATGAAGTTAAGTGTAATTGATGAGCATTAGTTTACAAGGGTCATCTCACATCAACATGTCACGTAAGTACTCACAACCAGAGAAGTACTCAAAATAATGGTGATGGATAGGTGGTTATGCTATCACATTTTTTTTTTTTTATTGGTACAGTTCCAAAATTACACTCGCCATGGTGTCTAGTCACTTTATTGTCTTAAGAAGTAAATGCATAACGGACATGAAGTTGACCTGTATTTTCTGAAGTATAAGGCGCTTCAGATTATAAGGCCCACCTTCAATGAATGGCCTATTTTAAAACTGTTTTCATATGTAGGGCGGACTGCATTATAAGGCACATAGGATAGAATAATGGCTGCGGTTGCACTATGCATCCACAAGATGGAGCTATGCTAAAGGGAATACAATACAATACACTACAATACAGCTTTTTTTAGAGCCTTCACAATCGCAGCAGCTGTAACAAAGCCATGAGAACTGGTCACAAACACGGACATGAAACATAGAAATACAAATGGCATTACAAAACAATAAATGAAAGATAGGTTGAGTCAAAACATCGGCGCTGGTTCGCACCGTGGGATCGGGAAGTCACGTGATGCTTTATGAATCTGAACCCCTCCGTCCAAAAAGAGCTGCCTATTCTAAAACGAATGTGATTGCATGGTTTAGTGTCATCAAAGCAGCTCATGCGTGTGCAGTAAAAGCTGCAGCATATGAGTATATCTTATATTACCGAGCAAGTCACAAGTCATAAAACTAGCAACTTAAATGGACTCGAGTCCGAGTCACGGGACTGAACACTGGCAACCCTGGCTCAGCTGCGTCCTTACCCACCAATATCAGCCAGCAGCACGACAACAGGGTCAATTTCCTGCTCTTACCATTCTCAAACTGTGCTCTGTCAATCCCGAACAAATTCAGGCTAAAGAGCAACCAAATCACACCGTCCAAAATGTTGACTTCAACGTGTCCCGAGTGGCAAGAGGCTGAAAAAAAAGCCCGGTTCCGACAAGCCAACGGTAGTGACGTGAGCGCTGCCATTTCATCAGTTTCTCAAGCAAGCTAACCGAAAACAATGCGGCATTTCCCCAAGGCATCCGATCGCAAATGAAATGCTTAAACAGTTGGCGTTGTCATCCACGGGAACTGCGAGTTCACCTCCATAGTTTGCGCAGCAGTGATCAATCAATCTAATTTTCTAATGGCTTGGAGTTTATGTGCGGTGGCCTTCTGTCATCAGCAGGAATCTGCTCGCTGAGGTACTTTTGGAGCCAACGTCCCTTCACACTTGGCACCAGACACTCCCATGGCCCGATAGCGATGCCGGTGGCTAATGTGTGCAAATTGTCATTGGGGGGGTCTTTTCATACCAAGCACCAGCGCTCAGCACTTTTTATAGGAGGTGACTTCAGCATTTCTCTCCCTTCCATCTCATTGAGTGCGTGGAGCCATTGTTGAATATACAGTATGGATGTGTAAAGCAGCCGCTGCCCTTGCCTTAGACTGTCCTTGAGATTGCGGCGCTCAGCGAGCTAGAACCATAAGGCAGGGGGGGTGGATTCCATTCCCTGTTAATTTCAGCTTCGACGAATAGCCGTTTGAATGTTGAAGCTTTTCAAACTCTGCGTTTTAAATGATAACTACCGGCTCACAAGTTGTCGCCAAAGCTACGAGCGACGCTGCAATCTGATTCCATTTTAAGTGTCTGGGCCTTGTAGGGAGGGGGTGGGGGGTGGGGGGAACATGGCTTTCGCGTGTGCCACCCCATTCCCGGGCCTGATGTCACCATTTTGTGGTCAAAGCGGGTCTAAATTACATTTTCGGAGCCAGGACCATCACCATTTGTAGCACATCATTGGCCAGCGCGGAGGCCTATCAGTTTCCTGCTTGGGGGTAAAAATAAGGAAAAATGAAAGCTGCGCGGACCATTGAATGGGCCCTCGCACCCCCACTTTTGATGAAAAATCCTGGAAAAGATCATCAAACTTAGACACAATGCTCTGGCGCATTAAATGACGTGGGTAAAGTAAAACGCTTGACAATGTAGCGTCACCCATCTGTCTTGGATAGCTTCTTGTGATTTTTCCCTCAGTCAGTTTGTCAAGTGCAAGCCATGAAATTCATCTAGAATTTCCATGTATCCTGTAATGATTACAGATCAGTTCAGTATCGATTAGTCAAGGGGGTGTAGATCAGATTTATTATTTTGAACAAATTACCATAATTTCCGGACTACAGAGCGCACCTGATTATAAGATGCACCCACGACATTTTCAAAAAACATATTGTTCACACATAAGCCGCACCGGTCAATAAGCCGCAGGTGCCAACATTGTAACATGAACTATTTACAAAGAAAGACGGTACACAGAAAGCGTTTTCAAAGTTTTAATAACGTCCCTTAACTTTTCGTTCCAAATAGTGCCTGTAACGAACGCGTCAGCACCACGGCAGTAAAACAGCACAATGAACAAAATCCTCGCTTGCCGTAACACTCGGTTAGCCATTCCTTCATTAGGCTTTCTACCAATGTATATATGAACGTGCATCGCTCTTACATTTTATGCTCGAGCGCTCCCTGACGGCCATTAGAAAAATCTTTATGTAGCCCGCTTTATTAAATAAGCCACAGAGCTGAAAGCGTGTGACAAAGGTTGCGGTTTATAGTCCGGAAATTACATCAGGTAAACTGCAACCTTGTAAACATTTTGCTTTGGAATCCAGTGGACTTTTACCGTGTTTACAATTTTTAGATTGGATGCGCGGCGATGCGGCTTGTGGCTCGCTTCTGGCTATCTATCGGATTCATATTTGTGTAATTGTAGAATCAAATAATTGCCTGTGGAAGCAGACAGGTCTGATACTGTCCAGTGGGGTCTTTGTGCCTGACAAACTCTGTCCAGAGTGGTTCAGGCAGGGACACCCGAGTTGCTTGGAAAAAAGTTTGCAGTTCACTCTGAAGTCACTTGCTCGTAAACATGTTTTTTTTTTTTTTTTTTTACTTCTCTGAGATTTATCCACGGCGCTGGCTCACTATGCCAAGTACCCAAAAGCATTATTGGAAGTCGGCCATGATTGTCATTTGGCGGCGAGCAGGCGTGGATGGCATCTCTGCGAAGCCTCTTTCCAAAGTGACGAAAATGCGTCTGAAAAAGGTGCCAATTAACCGTATGGCAGGAATGTAACCAAGCAAGTAAACATAACGGGCCATTCGTTGGACGCAGTTTGCTTTGTTTACCACAGAAGAATCACCGGGTTTGGCTTTACCTTTTAAAATGTTTGCTATCGGGATCATGCACTTGAAAGCCCAAACACATCTCAAAACCTGAGGAAATCAAGTGTGTCCTTGGTGCGCCTGGCAGCAAAAAGCCACCTGCCGTCCTAAGTGAACATCAAAAAGCACTTCAATGGGAGAGTTGGCGTCGCCATAGCGCTCGCCATTAAGAAACAAATTTGGCTTTTAAAGGGGGAATTGGCCGTCTTTGCCGTCTCGTTTCTGGGCTGCGCGCTGGTGAAATGTGCTTGAGAGAAGCTGCTCTCAGGAGATGTTTCTTTGTCTGATGACAGAAAACAAACACGGCTGCATCTTACTGTTCGCGTAAATGGATGGCGGTCCGGAAATAAATTGCACAGGCTGGAACAATTGGGTCTTTGGGGTTCCAACGCTGCAATTTGAGAAAAAGTCCACAGAACCCAGTGTTGTCGTGAAGTCAGAAGCAGAGAATTTTCCAAAGAAGCTCAGTTCAAGAAGTATGAGATGGGCAACTCGGGGTTTTAGTTCGGGTTGTAGCAATCCGTGCGTTCGCTTTAAGGTCACAGTTTTGGGTTTAGTAATGGCACAGAATGGCGGCCCGGGTGGTTAGCGCGTCGACCGCACAGTGCAAAGTTTCGATTCCAGCTCTGGCCTTCCTGTGTGGAGTTTACATGTTCTCCCCATGCCTGCGTGGATTTTCTCCGGGTACTCCGGTTTCGTCCCACAAAAACATGCACGGCAGGCTGATTGAACACTCAAAATCACAGGTGTCAAAGTCAAGGCCCGGGGGCCAGATCTGGCCCACCACACCATTTTATGTGGCCCGCGAAAGCAAATCAATCAGGTCGAGGTCCATGACGCTTGCTGAAGTCTGAACCAAATTTCAAATTGTCATATTTAATCCACAATAACAGTCATTATTCGTGACTTCTGATTGTAAAACTAGTTCTTGATGAATTTGTTGTGCGCTGTGTATGTAATATGCGGACGGGATTAAACATTTATATGGTTTCCCAAAATTCATAACGGCCCTCCAAGGGAAACCGGAACTACAATGTGGCCCACTACAAAAACTAGTTTGACACCCATGCTCTAAATTGTCCCCAGGTGTGAGTGTGAGCGCGGATGGTTGTTCGTCTCTGTGTGCCCTGCAATTGGCTGGCAACGGTTCAGGGTGTCCCCTGCCTACTGCCAAAAGACAGCTGGGATAGGCTCCAGCATGCCCCGCGACCCTTGTGAGGATAAAGCGGATGAGAAAATGGATGGATGGATGGATAATGGCACAGAATATACAAGGCCCAAAACTGTGGCTATCTGTTCAAATGCCATTTCAAAAGAAGCCAAAAAAATAGACCGAAGCAGAGCGCACTAATGGTGAATTCGCTGCACACGTTTTAGTCCCAAGACTTGTGTCTCACCTGAGAATTGTGTGTGTATGTGTGTGTGTGTGTCTCCCAGAGGACCAGCTACCTCCTGGTTTCCCCACCATCGACATGGGCCCACAGCTCAAAGTGGTGGAGCGAACTCGAACCGCCACCATGCTCTGTGCCGCCAGCGGCAACCCGGACCCGGATATCTCCTGGTTTAAAGACTTCCTCCCCGTCAATACCACCAACAACAACGGCCGCATTAAACAGCTGCGATCAGGTAGGTTGCTTCTCCGTCATCAAAGATCTTTTTGATGTCATCTCTGTTCCCCTTAATATGACTTTTAGAAATTATTTTTGTAGGTAATGGCATTTTCCAATATTTCCTGTTCTATTCTGAGTTTACCCCAGTGTGTTTCTTTTGGTGTTGTCATTAGACTGTTGGAATTTTGTCTCCCCTCATGTGTAGGCTAAAACCGATTTGGGGTTTTTCTTTCTGCTATGTTGGTGCAGTGTGTTTGTTTCGTTTTTGTGAGTCCATTCTTTTTTGGTTTTGTATTGATGAAAATCTCTTCTCGGAAGTTCTCGTACCTTATTTTGTTTGTCTGTGGTATATGGACCTTTATTGGAAATCCGATTTGAAGAAAGAATAATGGTCTATATAGCAGCTATGTGTTTTATTTTGTTGTTGTTTTAATCCGACATAATCTACACTCTCAGAAAAATCACGTTTAGGGGTACGACAACTTGTCACTGTGATGCCATCCACCCCTGACACCCTTGGAAACGGAGACGCACCTTTTATGGCCTTGGGAAATTTACATCAGGAGTCAGATGAGTCACTCTTTGAAGGTGCATCAGTACCGTATTTTCCGGATTATACGTCGCTCCAGAGTATAGGTCGCACCAGCCATAAAATGCATAATAAAGAAGAAAAAACAGATATAAGTCGCATTTGGCGGGGGGGAGGGGGGATATTCGATTAAATCCAACACCAAGAACAGACATGTCATCTTGAAAGGCAATTCAAAATAAAAATAAATACTAAATGCTAACGTTTCATGACACATAAACAACGAACTGAGAACGTGCCTTGTATCGTCACGTAACCCATTAAGAATGATTCAGATAACTAGAGCATAAAGAACGAACAAGTTTACCAAACCATCAGTGTCACTCCAAATAACGAAATCCAACGAAATATTCATCGACGGTGTCACTTTTGAACAACTCCGGAGGTAGAAGATGCGGTCCTTCCTCTTCTACGTCGCATACGTCAGACTTATCGTTGACTTATCAACACAGGCCTAGAGCGCCCACTTGTGGTTAAATCTGAAAGTAACATGTGAAAATGATATAACGTGTCTCACACAAAAGTCGCTTCAGAGTATAAGTCACACCCCCCAACCAAACTATGAAAAAAAACCTGCGACTTACAGTCCGAAAAATACGGTCCGCATTGATTCCGACTCCACCTTCTGTATCCAACAATGAGTTTGGGAGTACAGTCTCGACTTTTAGGCTGCATTCCCGCGAGCAGTTCGTTTGAGTGCAATTGTTCGGATGTCATTGACTTCCCACGGTAGCCCAATTTCTACAACCATATCAACTTCCTACATGATGCCTTTTTCCCAGAAAGCCATCGACATCCTGTTAGCCGCATTCCTATCAAACGTATCGACGACTCATCGCCCTCTCCAGACCTGTTCACTTCCGATGGTACCCCTGTTCCTACAAACCCATCAAGTGATTACGATGTCCTTATTTCTACCAATCGATGAATTTGCGATGGTACCCGTACTTCACCAAAGCCATCAACCACCTGCGGTACCCCTATTTCTGACAGTGTACTGACCCCCCCCCTGAAAACAACTTGTGTTCTGCAGCATCTGGCAACGTGTGTTTTTGACCACCTTTGTCTTTTTTCTTTTTATTTTCTTTTATTTTTTTTTGTTTCCAAGAGAACTAACTAACCCCGCGCCATGATGATGATGATGATCAAAGCAATTAACGCCACCTCTTGTTAACCAACAACTTTAAGAATATGACCATATTCTTACGCCTATGTCTTTCTTCTCTCTATATGTGTTTTTTTTTTTTTAATCTACAGAATCCTTTGGTAAGTGCTTAGCTCTAAAGCGCACATCACCCCCTTCCACTAATTCTCATGTTTCCAACAAGTATTAAAATGCATGGCATGCATTTTACTAACAGACGACTTCAGGCTTACAACTACGACGAGTACGATTACTCCAATTTAAGAGACACTTCCCTCACGTAGACAGTGCTCACCTCACATGTAAGGAACGGCAGCTTCCACTGAGCTGACACGTTTTGGGTTTTTTTTTCTTTCTTTTGGGGTTGTTTTAAATGTAAAAATGCGAAAGTCACAAAGGGACACATGTTCAGCAAGCACACAAAGGCCTCCAGAGTTTTTCCCCTTTTCACTAGACGGTCTTCAGAAGCTCCTCCATGTGAAAGTTCCTGTGATTTCGCAAATGCTGAATCCTGCACCGAACGTTCTTATTCTCTCTCTTGATCTCTCTCCTGTCTATTTCCTCCAGAATCGTCTATTTACTGTTGAAATTTTCTTCTTCTTCCAACCCCCCAACCCAAAAAAACAAAAAGCAATCCAGACTTCATTCTTGCTGTCACCGCCATCCACTGAGTGCCATCACTCTTCACGTTTGTCCCGTTTGTCATTCGCCATGGCGTTCTCCTCTTTCTGAGTTGTCCTGTTTTGTTGACTCGATTCCATCCATGTCCCCGTTCTGTTCCGCTTTCACAAGCCCCCGTCGTGATATGCTTGCCCTGGCTCCAACAACAACAAAAAGCATATCCAATGACAATTATTATTATTTTTTTTTATTTTTTTGTCAAGCTCTTTCCATTTTTGTTTGCCATATAGCAAATCATGCGTCCCTCTTTTTGTCCAACTAAAACAACCAAGCATTTTTCCCCCCCTTAGCTGTTCTTGCTGTGGAGTCAACGCCCCCACCCCCCACCCCCCACAAAAATCTATTTTTTCCCCCCATTTCTTCTACTTGCTCTCCTCTCCTGTACCTCTACAAAAAAGCCCAAACAACCACTTTTTTGATAAAGTTTCTACGGTGCTTTTTTACTTCTTTCACACCTATTTTTCTGACTTTTCTTGCCTCTTTGGAACTTTTGACTTTTTTTTGTATTTTTTTTTTTGTCTTCAGGCTTTGGGAAAAACAGTAGAGTCGGACGGAGGGAAGCGGATGCATTGGCTCAATTTTTGGCCATGTTGACCCGGGGAGCCGCAGCAGTTTGTTTTTGTCTGGTCAATGTGACACCACACTGCTGATCCCATTGTGGATTTTTATGGGTGTCTTTTGAAACTCAAAAAAAAAAAAAAGAAAAGAAATAAATAAAAAGCAGTGGTTGGTTCTTGTTGGCTCAGGGGCCCAGCATTTTGAATTTTGTCCTCTAATACACCTGTATTTTATTTTTCAGCTAAGGGTTGTCGCAAGGTTGTAAGTTGTGCTGACATGCATTTCTTGCCAAGATTTGCATGTCAAAAACAAACAAACAAACAAACAAAGTTTTGTTCCGGAGGGTTGTGTGTTGGATTTGCCTTGCATTTTCCTGCAATTGCTCTTTTTTTTTCCCCCACATGTGAGCAGCAATTTTATTTTTTATTTTTGCACAATGCTGCCTTTTTTTTTTTTTTTTTTTGGAAAAGTGAAAAAAATACAAATGGCAGGCGATTTGTGATTGAATATGCTAAAAAAAAAATTCATTTCGAAAATTTCTTTCTTTCAATTGTCCTTTCTTGTTCAGCTGCTTTCTTCGACTGTAAACCTCTTTTGTTTGATCCATGTCTCCCTTAAAGCAGTGCCACTCATCCCCCATATTGACCAGTCAACTTACATGTTGTACCCCAGCCCTTGCGCTCGATAAAATTTATCTACCTGCATTGGCATTATAGGATGAGTGTCTTTTCAAACTCATGATTTTTTTTCTGAATTCTGTTTAGTTTTGTAAATTTCTTCCAAGGTTACTCACAGTAACCCTCCAGAGTCGAATGCCTTAAACATGCGCACCATTCGGGAACAAAAATGTGCCCCAAAGTTGTACAGTTTACCATAGAATTATTCTTTCAATTTTGTTTTTTATTACAACAAATTATGATTTTTCTTGAGGTATAATAAACACGTCACAATAAAAACAAATGTAACTCATGATCAATGGTGATTTTCACATTTTCATATCCAGATGGCTGAATTGTACGTTGAAGTCAGCATCGATGTTCCGCCACGGTCTCGTTACATTTTACATCCCCAAAACTAAAGCCGTTGTCAGGACGGCAACAAAATGATTAAATGGAAGCATCATCTCAGAAGACTTGCTCGGATCTTGCCAGACTGCAACAAACACAATAACGTGTATTATTGCTTGCAGTGGACACTGAAAACAGTTTTGTTTTTTTTTAATCAATAAGTTAAACATTAGGGTGCAGAGGTAGGACTGAGCTCATACAAGAGATGCCTTATCATCCTCCTTGCATGTCGGCTAAGAACGTAAAAAAATGGCCCTGTTTGACCCCGGAACAGACGATTTGAATTGCGAATGATGAGAAGGCGTAACGGACGACGGTGTTGGACTTTGGAGGTTCCGCTGTGTGAGTCTTTTTGAGTCTCGCGCACGATGAGGCTAACTTAGTGGATCAAACAAATGATTCAAGAAACGAGTTCAATTCCTTCATATTTCGTCATTTGCAAAAGAAAAGAAATGCTCGTGATGTTTTTGGCACACTTTAATTCTCCTCTGCCATCCTGTTTGTGATTCCCAAACAGGAGCCCTGCAGATAGAGCAGAGCGAGGAGTCGGACCAGGGAAAGTATGAGTGTGTGGCCACCAACAACGATGGGACGCGCTACTCGGCGCCGGCCAACCTTTACGTTCGAGGTATGATAACAGCACTAAAACTCGTTTGTAAATAAAGCCTACGGAAGGCCGCGTTCTATGTTGTAAGTATCTTTTGAATTGCTTTTAATTTGGATTAAGTGATTGATTTTTTTTCTTTTTTGCACTTTTACCCGCACTGATGTGTGAACCTATACAGATTCCGCTTTTTTTTTCCCCAGCCCTTTCCATTACCTGGCCCAGTTGGCGAGAATTGCTCATTGTTTTAACTTGACTTTTTTTTTTTTTTTTTGCATTCTCTTTTCCTCCCTGTTGATCAACAATGAAAGGGCATCAAGGAATTTACCAATGTTTCACATGTTCTTCTTTCTGAAGGCGACCGACCTATGTCAGTTTCCTATCTATTGAATGTTTAATGCTCAAGTACGGACGTTGCCGGTCCGAAAGCTAAAGTGCTTTGCAGGGGTCATGAAGAGGCTCTAATCGACTCATTCGCTGCCAGCCATTTTTCAATCAGAGTTCCCCCATGTTGCCGGCCGTTTGATAGCATTTTTGACTCATCTTTCAGAACCGATCAGTGTTGACTCTCCTTTCACAATAAAACCAAAAAGCTCAGAAAATGCATTTTATGTGAAGAGAAACAAGCAGAACATTGACTTTGATACTTTTTTTTTTTTTTTTTGCTTTTGCGACGTCTCAAACTATAAAATGATGAAAAGCAAACTGGGAAAGGGCCTTTTGGAGGCAAAATATTTTATTCACAGTGACACTAACTCACTGCATGGCTCCGGTTGAACGTTACTCGCCTTATTACACCGTGTTCACAAAATTACTCACTTTATAAATGATCTTTTGTCACGATCGAGACACACACTTTCTATGACCAAATTCATTGTTGTCCTATACTGATTCATACCGTTAAGTGTCAGGTGCCTAAACTTGTCCATCTTACAGCGTGTTGGCATTTCTCTTCCCCATAATCAACGCGATGAGCCAAGACGACCGCTAATATTTATCTTCAATGCCAAAGCCGTGGTGATCTCAAATCCAAAGTGATGCAATGCCGCCATCGACGGGGATCTGCTAGTCAGGATGCTGATTTGCCATTCTGAATTTCAATGAAAAGCTGGGCCATGCCTCCCTATTAAAAATGTCGTTTCGCTTGCAAAAGAAGCTTTCCCAGGCACCTCTCTGCAACACCACATTTTGTGATGTTGAAATCAGCACAGGCTATTTGATGATTAGTTCACAAATTAGAATACGTAACTCTGGCCAAAAACGTAGCCCCATCCCCATTTTTGGCGAAACACAGTGGACAGGTCTGACACAAGAATAACTCTCTTAAGTCTTATGCCCATAACTGAACAGGAAGTCAGCCATTTTTGAGGGGATATGGGGTCCTTTTCTTGGTGTCATTACTGATCATAAAACCTAAATGGAATTCACCCCGCTGTCACATGATAAATGGCACAACTTGAGTTTTCAAGGAAAGGATTCCACACTGGAGTGTTGGAAAAAAAAATATTGCAAAACTGAGAATAAAACGCCAAGACGAGACAACAGTCGAAAGAAAGTGGGAGAAGAAACACAGACGAGACGGTCCCAAAAAGCTTTGCTGCTTTTACGTCACCCACCACCGGTAGTCAGAGGTTGATGGAAGCTATCTGCTACTTACGCAGAAGCGGGTAGCTAGCAACAACTTCGGCTGGCTACTAGTGCGCCTAAACATGTTACGGAGCCGATCCTAAGTCAGTCATCGTCACCTGCATAGTGGCCAGTGAGCGACTTTAGTTTCGAGAATCACTCTCACGAAGGGATGATGAGAAAAAAATGGAGACGCCACACTAAATGCTAAGCTAACCTAAGAGTGACACGGTGAGTGCATCACGTGATTGGGTGATCGAATACGAGACACTTTTAAGAGACGGCTGGCTGGAACCACGTTCAAGGGGATAACATCCAACTTTGAACAGCAAAATAGGAGAAAAATTAATCAGTGTCGAGATTCTGGAGAGAAAATAAAACATGCTAAAGTGAGCCGGAATGGGAAGTGAATTGCGGTGCGCTACGCCATGCGTTAGCAAGGAGGAGTAGCCCGTAAGGTTCAAAGTAGAAGAATATAGTATTTAATATTTAGGATTTATCAGTCATGTTCTTTTTTGTTTTCACAATAGAGTCCTGCCTTTTAACTTTTGAAGTCTTCCCAATAAATGTTCTCAAAATTACATGACAGCAGTTGTTTACCTTTGCTTCTCGACAAGAAAATAAAGTTTGCTGCTATACATAATGTGAATTAAAGAACTAAACACCGGTGAATCTAAAAAAAAAACAAAAAGAAAACCAGCTGATCGTTCATTATATTGTCCTATTTTTATTTATTTTTATTTGTTTAAGCCTTTGCTTCAGGTCCCTGGGATTAACATACCCCCCAAAAATTGCTCCACAAAATTGGAGAGGTGCTCCTCAAAAGAAGTCGCTGATTCACAAAACTACTCTGCAAAGAAAAAAAAAATATTGAAGTACATTTTTAAATATTGAAGTACATTTTAAAATATTTAGAGCCTGAGTTCCGTCTTCTTCCACATCAAACGAGATGAGGAATTCTAATTAAATCACTTTTTGAGTTTTTTAAAGGGATTGTCTCAACACTTTTGTCTTGTATGTGCTGCTCTGACATGAATATGTGCTTTTTCGTACTTAAGTAATATCTAATGTCAGTGATTTGAGATTTTCAAGCAAGGTATAGAGGGCAAAGTCCTTTGAGATGTTTAATCTGGACGCTTGTTTACTCTCCCCCTTGTTTTTCTCCTTTATTCTTTGTGTTCATTTTCTTTTTTTTTTGTGTACCTTCATAAACAATCCTCCATCTCCCCTTCAGAGCTGCGGGAAGGTTGGTGTGTTTTCTTTTTTTCTCCAAATACAGCAACGCACACTGTTCATTCAGAGAAATGCTCAAGTGGTATTGTTATGATTGTTTCAGTTGTCCGCCGGTGCTCCATATTGGTTCGCGCACAAGACCGACATTTGCATCTCATTTGCATGCTGTCAGTGTTCCTGCTTGGCCTCCAGAAATCCAGGAAAACGAGTCTTGAACGGAACGAACGGAAGCTTCCCGAATGACGTTGATGAGGAATATGTACTTGATAGTAATTGGCACTAAATACAAGTGTTAAGCTGTAAAAGCAACCTTGCCCCCAAGAGACTGAGGGAGGGGGCTCCTTGAAAGAATAGCGGCTTATGATGATGAGCCCTCACAAATGTAATGATATTCAAATGAGCGGGATAATATGATGTCTGCGGGGAAGCGCGCGCAACGCCGTCCGATTGGATATTAATTAAATCTGGATTATTTAATAATGGACGACAAAGCGGGGCCGTTCAGTTTGCGAGTCCGCACAGGAAGCGATGGCCAAAGATGAAAGGCAGCAACACTGTTTATTTTGAGTTGAGTGTGCCGTAAATATTTATTTGGGGTGTTTTTTTGTGTGACCCAAGTTTCTGTCTACAGCTCAGCCTGTTTTTTGTTGTTGTTATTTTTGTCGTGAGTTGCATTCTTCCACAAATGAATAGAATGCAAGGATAAAAGTATCATGAAATAAATCCAGTCAAGTATTATTTTACCATTGACAAAATTGTAAGATGTTAATTTTACTATTATGATCATCGTCATTGAATTACTTCATAAGTACTAACTCACTCATGTGAATATGCTTTGTATCTACGTCCATATTTCCTAGTGAGTTAATGACTTCATCATTATGTTGCGCAAAAGATACTCGTGGCAGTATTCAGCACAAGTGTTTATTGTATTTTATATTTGTTTCTACGATATTGTACAGCATACAAGTATAATTGTAATGTAAGTGTATTACTCGGTGACTTAAGTATGAATTAGTTAACAGCAATTTTTGAATCAGAGATGGCTTTGTGTACCTGGTGTCGGAATCAGAGCATTTTTATTTTTTTTTCTGTAGCAACGTTGACCACCATCTCAGATTTAAAAATTTTGTTCACATTTGTCGACCAGTTTTTTTTTATTTTAATGGCGTCGTGTTGTTACTATTCTCATTCTCGTTCTTTTGGTCCTGATGGTGCTCATCACATGAAGTTGCATGCAGCACTGCATCATGGTGTCGCATCGCTCATCAATCACAACGCGTCCATCGCGGATCAATCATCCCGGCGGTCTCCCGCCCGAGGGCCTCTTTTCAAGCGGTCTCCTTGTCTTTGTGTCCCGTGGCAGTGCGCCGGGTGCCGCCGCGCTTCTCCATCCCGCCCACGGACAACGAGATCATGCCGGGCGGCAGCGTGAACATCACGTGCGTGGCGGTGGGCTCGCCCATGCCGTACGTCAAGTGGATGCTGGGTGCCGAGGACCTGACGCCCGAGGACGACATGCCCATCGGGCGCAACGTCCTGGAGCTGACCGACGTGCGCCAGTCGGCCAACTACACCTGCGTGGCCATGTCCACGCTGGGCGTCATCGAGGCCGTGGCGCAGATCACCGTCAAAGGTACTCCTTTCGCCCTCGCCACTTCGGTAATCCTACTCTCTTATAACAACAATGATACTCATACGTGTTACTACTACCACCTATTAAAACGACTAAGTACTGTCCTTATCATGTCATATTTTTTTTTTTGGGTAAGTCCTATAGTCATGTGACAGTCGAAGTTTTGAAAATAGCAGATTGCAATGAATAAAAATATCCCATTCATGAGTCAATCAAAGAAATGATAAACAAAAGAAACCAATCGGTACATTAGTCATCAAGTTTTTAAGTCCGCATCGTATCTGTGGCTGAGCTCGGAGGGGTCAACACGTCGGGTCAACAGTGTCAGACGGCAGCAAATCGAGTTTGGGGGTTTATCTCGCAGCCGGAGAGCAACGCGGGAGGCTTGCCTGACCATTTGGTGTCCTCTGCAGGCGCGCTACATGTTATCCGAGGCGCAATCATATCGGCGCGAGGACAATCCGGCGAGCGGGCGCCACCGCATGCACACAAGGGACAAGCTTTTCTTGTTCCAGAGACATAACAGAGATATTAGTCACAATATAACAGCCTGACAGCGAGGGCTCCCTGTAGCATAGTTCAGGCGGCGTATAAAGACAATCTATTGCCGGTATATTCCGCCGCGTGAGGAATTAAAGCCATAAATTCCACCGCTAAATTATTCAAGTGATAAGCAGCTCCGTGTCGGAGATGAGCAACGTGGTTTCAAACACGCCGCTTCGTACGCACGAGCGGTTGCACGGGGCTGGCCGGATGAACGCTATTTCCTCATTGTGCAGCGGCTTACCGATCACTGCCCAGTTCTATCTTGCAGAGTTTTGTAGCAAGTATTGTCTGTTGGAGAAATCGAGGTGATATCACGGATTTTACGGTTTATAGCAATCAAGTTTTTTTTTTTCCGTGCCCATGAAAATAAAACATGTTGGAGCAGTTGCATGGAATTTTCGTTCTCTGTGGCTGTCATTGACCGCTGCTAACATCACCCATTCATGGATGGAACACTTTTAGTTTCGTTTCTTGCCAGAGGAAGATCCTGACCATTCAGGAGAAGGTTAAAACTCCTGCATGTGTGCATATGGGAAGGACAGACTTACTTTTTGTTCTCTCGCAACAAAACATTTCACTGGAACTCAATACCCCAGGCTAGAAATGGGCGCGGACCGATACTATCATTATCGGGTCAATATTGGCCTTATTGCAAAATATTGGTATTTCTGAATGACGACAGATACTTAAGGCAAAAAATAAAAAATAAAATAAAAGATATTGAACATGTCTCACTTGTTGGTAATTGGAGCCACACTGTGGCCATTTGAGACATTGGCGAATCATCACCTGATTCATAAAAACAGAAAGGTCTTTGTCTACCATGAACTATCGCTGTGTTAATTTTCAAAATTTATGTCACAAAAGTACGAGTCATATTGGTAATCGGTCTCGGTAAGTACTCAAGTGTGAATACTCCCAACTGGTTTCGGTCTGAAAAAAGTGGGATCAACCATACCAAACTACTGGCAATGACGGGCATTTGCAGCACACAACACGAATCAGCACTGGAGTGCATTTTCTCTGCATTTTATGTCTTTTTTTTTTCATTTTCAGTAAGTTTTAATGTGTGTAAAGCTTGTGCGAGGGTTAAAAGAACAGAAACATTCCATCTCGATTTTCACACATTGCGGTTGGGTCCCTGAATGATAAACATTGCATTTCTGCAGCATTGCCCCGGAATCCCGGCATCCCGGTGGTCACAGAGCGCACCGCCACGAGCATCACCCTGACGTGGGATTCCGGCAATCCCGAACCGGTGTCATACTACATCGTCCAGCACAAGTCCAAGTACTCGGAAGACTTGTACAAGGAAATCGACGGCGTGGCGACCACGCGCTACAGCGTCGGCGGCCTCAGCCCTTACTCGGACTATGAGTTCCGCGTGGTGGCCGTCAACAACATTGGCAGGGGCCCGCCCAGCGAGAGCGTGGAGGCCAAGACGGCCGAGCAGGCGCCCAGCACGGCACCGCGCCGGGTTCGGGGCCAAATGCTGAGCGCCACCACGGCCGTCATCAACTGGGAAGAACCGGAGGAAGCCAACGGGCAGATTATGGGCTACAGGGTGTACTACACGCTGGATTCCAGCCAGCACGTCAACCTGTGGGAAAAGCAAATCGTCCGAGGGGCGAACTTTGTCACCATCCAAGGCCTCATCCCGAACAAAACGTATTACATCAAGGTGCTCGCCTACACGTCGGTCGGCGATGGGCCTCTCTCCCCAGATCTGCAGATCATTGCAAAGACGGGAGGTGAGCTGGCTTTCATTTTCCTCTTTGTAAACCGTTTTAGTACAAACATTTTCGTCACAGACACTTGGGAAAGTCGGTTCCGGTTGTTAAAAGGCGCTGGGAGCATCTCAGTCGGGGCTGTCAACAAACGTCATCCGGAGAACTCCAAGAACAAGGAAATGCAAATAGCTTGTTGTCAACTTGCAGTGGAAAACCAAAACGTAGTCTTTTGACTTAATTAGCTGTGATTTATAGCTGTGGCTATTTTGGATGACAAGATGAGCCTCTCTTGAAATACACTGCGGCTCAACATGTCAACGTGGCTTCATTCCGATGTCTAGTTCCTTCCCAACCGACGGACTTTAAGGGCGAGGCCAAGTCGGAAACCAGCATTTTGTTGTCATGGGTTGCGCCGGTCCAGACGGGACAGGAGAATCAAATCACGGGATACGATCTCTTGTACAAGAAGAGGGATGATCAAGACGAGGTAACGCTCGACGTTCGCGGACCCTTCCGCCTGACTCTTGAATCCGCGCCCATATGACGAGCCTTTCTCTCCTTTTTCAGAGGCGAATTAGCTTCGAGCCCACCTCGACGTACCTCATGAAGGACTTGAAGCCCTTCACCACATACGCCTTCCGTCTGGCGGCCCGTAGCAAGCACGGCGTCGGCGCGTACACCAGCGAGATCTCCGCTGAGACCCCGCAAACACGTAGGTCTTCTTCCATATCCGCGGGGTGACGCCTTTGAAATGTATCCTGCCGAACAAATGAATTGGGATGAAAGGTTTACGCCACGGCTGGCCTTCACCCCTGTTATGTTATGGGTCAAATATAATATTTACGATATTGAAATATTATATTCCGATTCTTTTTATTTTTAATATTTTAATATAATCATTATTTTTATTGTCCTTCTAGATCAGGGGTGTCATACTCATTTTGTGTCGCGGGCCACATTATAGTTACCAGTTCCCTTGGAGGGCCGTTATTACTGTGAAACCATATAAGGAAGTCAAGAATAATGGTTTATTCAACGATAGTTTAAGTTATTGGAATGAGGGTTTTGGTAACAAGAAAACTTACAATAGCTCTCTTATATATTACATGTGAATTTTGAAATTGCGGTCCAAATTTTAGCAAGCATCATGGAAGTCAACATTTGCTTTCACGGGCCACGTAAAATGATGTACTGGGCCAAATCTGGCCCCCGGGCCTTGAGTTTGACACCTGTGCTCTAGATTGAGACAAAGGGGCTAAAGCTTGACCGGAAAATATTTCTAGTGAGCGGTAATCTCCTAATCTTGTTGATGCGCCACCATCAACTTTTTAGAGTTGACTACAATAGTTTAAATGACAAATATACCTGAAGCGATGATGTCAAAACACGTCATTTCAAAACTCATCAAATGAACCGGAAGTGGACGTGCGGCAGTTACTCTCTTGCTAATTCTTGCACGAACAACCCAGGCTAAAATTGGCTCCCCCTTGTTCTTTTAATTTCAAAATAGCCTCCTGGCACAAATGGACGACTTTCCGCTTAGACATCTTCTGGCATTTTAAGGTGTTCAGCAAAAAGCTCAAGATACCTTATCCAGAAAAAAAAAAAAAGTGAACATTAAATTGCAAGCATAGGGGTGGAATTGGTGTCCCAAAGAAACAAACAACTCCAGCTGGTCAGAAAGAGTCTGCATTTTAACACTCGGCGTCATTAAAAGCTCGATTCTCGCTTCTGCACCCTACCGGCAAATAATCGTTCCCCTTTAAATGCACGGTGAGCCGACGAGGTTGAAGAGGGCTTCACTCGAGCGTCTTAAAAGCCAAAGGGCACGCGTGTCCCTTCGGAAGCCTCCTCTCGACCTTGCATGCCAAAAACAGAAGAGAGAATGAACTTTCTGTGAAGCCCAGAAGCAAGTCTACGGACACTAAAACCGGCAGATTCTTTTTTTTTTACTGCTTGTGCACAAATGTTTTTATTTATTTCTTCATTTATTTTTTGTGAGCTCCTTCTTTATAAGGAAAAAATAAATAAAAAATGTCTGTGAGGGAATTTAGCTCGAGTATGACTTAACGTTCGGCTAATTTAAACAGCCTGCAAGTTCCTCTGCCCATGATGTCGTTTTTACACTACCCATAGGCACAGACACGGATTAGCTTCTGATAAACCGTTCAGTAAAATTGGTACTGTGGAGGTCAAGCACTGATGTCCGCACACTATCATTAACAAGTGCAATTTGTTGCCTTGGTGACGATGTAGGCCCGCTAACTGCTGCCTGAGTCGTCATGGTAGCAAAAGCCTTTCGTGTCTTGCTTGTTCGGGGTGAGCGGTAGCTGATTAGCATGAAACATGACCGCCCAAAGAGGGTTTTGACCCAAATTTTGTCCTCAACGTATTGAGACAGTTTGGAACAGTTTGAAATTGTGAGAAAATACTTGATATGCCTCCTTTAAAAAGGTCAGCGATGCTATAAAACACTAACGATAAGGGTAATAATAACGGCCTCACAGAAAGATCAAGTTGTGTCGACGGCTATGTGGCGTTTTTTGTTTTTTTTTTTTTTTTTGAGGCGTCTGTTGTAAACGTGAGGTCTGTAAAAGACAAGACAGCAACTCTCAGGTAGGTATGACAGACGTGAACACACGGCTCGATTGTGTGTTGGGATGCATGCCGATGTTTGAGAATCTACTAAACCAAAGTCATGTCTCCTTGGGAAGCTTCTCTGTCGTACAATCAGGCTTTTACCACAAACCAACAGGCTTCGGAAAGGTTGGTGACGAATGCAGTTTTCTCCTTTCCAAACCCATTTGAACGCATCAACCTTTATGTTTTTGGATTGATGGTAACTGCTTGCCAAATTTGCCTTGACCCAGAAGATGATTGTTAACGGTTACGTGAAGTGTGTATCGGTAGCTTACACAAGGCACAGCTGTCCTCTTTCCAACCAAACACCCTCCATTCATCATCAGTTTTGTGTTACACTTTGTGTTTTTTGGTTCATTCCCATCTTTGGTTGTGCGTTGTCCTCATCTTCCTTTATTTTCCTTTTTTTTTCCCCCTCCATCTGGATATTTCGACAATCACCACCACAATCAAAAAAAAAAAAAAAATACCAAAATGAAAACAAACCACGGCCTCGCCAAACGACAACCGCTCTGAAATTGCACAAAAGCAGAGCCCTCCGGCCCGCCCGCAGAAGTCAGGTGCTCGAGTCCCACGTCCACGAGCATCCTGGTAAGTTGGCGGGCGCCCCCGATGGAATCGCAGAACGGAATCATAACACGATACAGCATCCAGTACGCCGCCACCGACGGGGAGGACAAGACCCCGCGTCAGATCCCGGACATCCCCCCGGAAAGCTCTCAGTACCTTTTGGAACACTTGGAAAAATGGACAGAATACCACGTGACAGTCACCGCTCATACGGATGTCGGAGCAGGGCCGCAAAGTACGCCACAGCTGGTCCGCACCGAGGAGGACGGTACGTGTTCGCCAGTTCCAAAGTTCCTCGCCATGACAGCCATAACTAACAATCCCTTCCGCCTGCTTCTCACAAGACTCTTTGGACTTTTGATCGACTTTTTCCCCACCCTCACCCCCCAACGTTTTTTGCCTCAATTTCAACACATGGTATGGCCTATACTTCCGATCCCACCTGTCATTTTTGAAACTTGGGCGGTGGGATTTTTTTTTTCTTTTCTTATTTTTAACAACAGGCCTTTTTTTGTGAAAAAAAAAAAAGTTTTTCAACTGTGATGTGGTTGAATCATTTTTATCGTCATATATTTTTTTGCTTGCTTCATAGCCAAAAAATTCTTGCTGCGCTTCAAGCTTTGAATCGCTTGAAGCCACTCTTTTGGCTCCACACGTTTTTCCCACTCTACCCATTTTTAATGTTTCAAGATCAGGTCAGGTCAGACCTATTTTTGCTGTTCTTTTTTACCCCCTTTTGCCATTGTTGAGATATTGTCGCTGCAAATTTGTGATTTTTTTTTTTTTTGCCGGGGGGGGTCACTATTTTGCACGACGGAAGAAGATTCGAAACCGCGAGTAAATAGGTTGACTGTTATGTTGACCTTTTTTTTTCCCCCCTCCATTCTATCCCATGGTGTCCCCCCAGTTCCTAGCGGGCCACCTCGTAAAGTCGAGGTGGAAGCTGTCAACTCGTCGTCAATTAAAGTCATCTGGCGCTCACCGATGCCCACCAAGCAACATGGGCAGATCCGGGGGTACCAGGTGCACTATGTCAGGATGCTTAATGGGGAGCCCATAGGACAGCCCGTCATCAAGGATATCCTGATTGATGATGCCCAGGTACGCGCACCAAACCCAACACTCTTTGCTTTATCTCCTTTCGATTCACCGACAAATGGGGAAAAATGACTATTATGAATCATGACTTAGCTGAGTGACCGCAAAAGTGATTAATGATTATTGGCTTTATGTGTTGTCTCTTTCCCCACACCCAATCAGTGGGAATATGATGATTCAACTGATCATGTGAGTAGTCCAAACAGATACGAGTCTTCCTCCCACCCCCGTTGTCGTCCTAAGCATGAATGGCATGTGAATTTTGTGCAGTTGATCAATAAGCAGCCTATCAATATATATTAAGACTCAGCCATCCCTATCCTTGTCCACTGGAAGCATGCCTCCAGCTGCGAGAATGTGCCTGTTCTGCATACACGCTGTTAAATACCGATGGGCTCGTCGACACGTCGTTAAAGTCCCGCGTCTCAACAGGAAATGGTCATCTCGGAGCTGCAGGCCGAGACCACATATTCTGTTACCGTGGCGGCCTATACCACTAAAGGCGACGGCGCGCGCAGCAAGCCCAAACTTGTTACGACCACTGGCGCAGGTACGTTGACTTGTGCATTTACATCAGGCGTGTGATGTCAGAAAGTCACGTTACATTGTGTACAATTCGGTACAAAGTATGAATACTGCACCATAATATGCTGTGTTTGGTATCAAGATTGATTGACCTGTTGTTTTAATTTCTGCGATGTGCCCGGGTACGCATTGAGTAAGTCTTTACCGGTCAGGATGAGCTGCAAGAACGTGCTCAGTAACATTACTCCTCTCTCTACCGCCACAGTCCCTGATAAACCTCGGCTAATGGTCAGTACCACCAACATGGGCACCGCTCTCCTCCAATGGCATCCCCCGGCAGTCACCCACGGGCCTCTGCAAGGTTACCGCCTCCGCTTCGGCCGCAAAGACCTGGAACCGTTGACAGTCATCGAGTTCCCCGAGCGGGACAACCACTACACCACCAGAGAGATCCATAAGGGCGCCTCGTACACGTTCCGGCTTTCGGCGCGCAACAAGGTGGGATTTGGCGAAGAGACGGTCAAGGAGGTGACCACGAACGAAGACGTGCCGAGCGGCTACCCCCAGTGGATCACGGCCGACGCCGCCACCACCTCCACGATTCAGGTCAGCTGGCAGGAGCTGCTGCTGGCCGAGCGCAACGGCCACATCGTCAAGTACGCGCTGCAGTACAAGGACATCAACAGCCCGCGCAGTCCCTCGGAACTCTTTATCACCGCCCCCGAATCCACAGTGATCTTGGACGGCCTTAAGGCAGAAACCACTTACGATATTAAAATGTGTGCCTTCACCAGCAAGGGTTCTGGTCCCTATAGCCCAAGTGTCCAAATCAGGACACAGCCTTTGGATCAAGGTATGACCAGTCCCTCAGCCGTCTTAGCTCTTGCTTGCTATGTCCCCTATGCATCTAACAACAAGCTCCGAAAGGCAGCTCTTAACCACAAGAAGGTATTCGGATTTAGTCGTCATCTCCTTCGAGCTGTTTATTACCTCCCATGTGTTCGTGTCTTAAAAGTCAGTCATTGCATATGATGGTCGGTGTTAAGGTAAGAGGACAGTGTTCAGGGTACGGTAGTCTTCTTTTGGGGGTGTTCCGAAGGTAAGTCCTGGCATGGCAAGGGAAGCGGCAAGAGGACGTCACGAGTCTAAATCAGCTGCTCCCCCTTTCTTTTAGCAGTGTTTGCAAAGAATTTCCACGTGAGAGCTGCCATGAAGACGTCCGTGCTGCTGACGTGGGAGATCCCCGACACCTACAACGCCGCTCAGCCTTTCACGGTGAGTTATCTGTTCCGGGAAACTCATGGATGGAGAGTACCTTTGACCCGAGGTGAAAGTTCTGCAGTCGTTGAATTTTTTTTCGGGGGGGGCGGTTGTTTAAATGAACAAGTCTTCTCGACCAACGCAAAGACTGAAGGATAACGACGTAGCGTATTTTCCGCACTAAAAGGCGCACCTAAAAGCCTTCCATTTTCTTCAAAGCTCACAGCGCGCCTGAAAATCCGATGCGCCTTGTGTACGGTCATTACGGTAATATTTCGACCCCAAAATGGCTCCTTGCTCGAGACGTCCTGACAACGCAGAGTTCAAACTTCAGGCGATCGGTTACGCAGTTGAACACGTAAAAAGAGCAGCGGTAAGAGAGTTCAACGTTAACGAGTCAATGTTATAACTTGCTGTTGGTGAAGTGAACTGTGTCGCTGCTTTATTAAATACGTTTCACTGACATCTGACCGTTCTGTTGGCGTTTCCTTGAGTGTAGCTCCATCTAGTGGATGCATTGTAGATTGCGTCTTATAATACGATTCTCCCAGTGTTTGAAAAAAATTACAAAATAGGCCATTCATTGAAGGTGCACCTCATAATCCAGTGCGCCTTTTAGTGTGGAAAATAATAAAAAATAATCATAAAATTTTTCTGTTTCTGTAAGATCAGTTGTCGCCATTGCTAATTTGCTCTAGAAGCCGGTAGCCACTCATATCAAATTTTGAAGAAATTTCCATCTTTTCCACTGCTTGTAAAAAAAAATATTGTACTGAAGAACACATTGCAAATAAATAAATAGTGTTTTAAAACAGAGGGTAAGATAATCCTGCAAACGGAATCTTTCATTCCTTGGATCCAGATCCTGTACGACGACGGGCAAAGCGTGGAGGTGGACGGCAAACTGACCCAGAAACTGATTACGGGGCTTCAACCGGAGACACAGTACTCCTTCCTGTTGACCAACCGCGGTAACAGCGCCGGCGGTCTGCAGCACCGTGTGGCTACCATGACCGCGCCCGACATCCTTCGCACCAAGCCCTACCTGATCGGCAAGACCAACACGGATGGCATGGTGACGGTGGAGCTCCCTTCGGTGCAGACGTCAGAAAAAGTGCGGTGAGTCGGTGCCGCCCGGGAAGCACTCGTTTCTGAGGTGTTTCACTGTGACATCGGTCGAGTTGTTATAAGCCTCGAAGCCCCGGCAAAGTGTCTGATTGCCATTCAGAGCCAGAACGGTTGAGCGAAGGCCAACGCGGGAGCACATCTTATCGTCGACCAATACTTCAAAACCGTGTTGTGATTCGACTCAACGCCGTTTGCCTGCTTCTACCCCATGCCAGTGCTTGAAACCGTCCTGTTAAGTTGTTCTGTTTTCACGTTAGTTTGAGCCACTGCATTTTTTTTTTTCCGAAAATTTTTGGACACCACACGCACGGTGAGTTTTAGAGGTTTTGCAAAGAGAATTGGACAAAACTGCCCAAAGATACGTGTGCCAAACGTGTGGCGTGAGTCGTGCATGACTGCCAGCAAATGACATTGTTCTTCCACTGCAAGGAAACCAATGTCAATTGATTGTGGCTGGATCTTTTGAAGTGTGCTGCTACCATCGAGTGGTGGGTGTTTGAAACGCCAGGTTTAGGATGTGTCATTTAGTTTGTTTTATTTTGTTTTGATTTTTTTTTTTTTAATAAATTCAATTTGAATTTAGAGTAGCTGTGATTCTTTTTATTCATTTTTTTTTCTAAAATGCTTAGTTTTCTAGTTTTTGTTACTTTTAGTATTACTTTTTGTTTTTTTTTAATATTTGGAGGATATGTTGAGTGCCAGATTTAAAAAAAAGAGTCACAACTAAAGTGCAATTCCCAAATGACTGTTTGACCTTCCATCTTCGGTACAGATGTACAGCGATAGCAAATTAAATACATTTAAATATTTAATACAAAATGAACATTTCTGCTATAATTATAGTTTTATTAATCTTCGATGTAGTTTCAGATCGAGTTTTTTTTTTTAAAGCATTTCCATGTTTTATTTCGTTAATTTAATTTTACAAGAACTTATTTTGTACGTTTTCATGAAGTATGTTAACCGTGTGCACACTCGTATCTCAAATTTTACTCGTATCTCAAGACAACCAGTGATAAATTGGCAACTCGTGTCTGAAACAAACAAACTCATCAAAGCGCTCGTATCTCGAGGCATCGCTTGAGTCGCAAACGTCCAAGTGCAGCATAACATGAACTTCAGAAAAAAACTTTCCAGAACTGTACCGAATGTCTTGACTAAATAAGTTCATGAGGTACATTTTCAATGTTTATTGGATATGTCTTTCATTTTTGGATGATGAACCAGTATCGCCCTTCCTGAGAAACGAACGTAACGACTCAGTAGTCTCGCAACTTTGTGAACTTTTCCGACGTGCTTCTGAAATCTTATCTGACCCCGACGTCTTGTCCTTTCCAGGGCGTATTACATCGTGGTAGTGCCCCTGAAGAAGCAACGCAGCGGCAAGTTCGTCAAACCCTGGGACAATCCCGACGAGATGAATTTCGAGGAGGTAGGTGACTTTGACGCACACGTTTCTCTTCAAAAGCCCGCGCATGCAAACGAGGACGTCAAGTAGCCGTTCAAGTGCACTGCAAAAGCCAATCCCCCGTCGTCCTCTTTGCGGCTGTCGCAATTACCTGAAGAGCCGGAAGAGAGCCTCCATCACGATGTGAGGCGACGGACGCGCAACGCACTCGCTGACTTTTATATTTAGCCCGTTTTGTCATTTTGAGAGCTTTGCTACACGATTCCGAAGCCGTGCCTCGTATTTTCACTCCAACGCAAGGATATATCATGTGGCGGGAAGGCTGAAAGCTACCGCGCGCTCCCTTCCATCTGGCATTGGCTTTTACAGCTCGAGCCTCCGGGCCCCGTGTCTGGAGCCTTGACCGATTGCCCAAAAAAGTCGCCGCGCTGTCAGAATTTATTTGTTTGTCAATACTGGCACTCACCTTTTCACAACTTTTCCCAAGGGCAACTAGATTCCGTCGCTGTTGACAGCAGAGATGATTGAAGACATTATCGGGCGGCTCCAACAGCCCTGCAGCCAAAACAGAGCAAAACACACATCCACACAGTCTCATGTGAATGACAGGCGCATGCATTGTTCACACACATGCACGCTGACGATCCATGCACACCGAGTCACAGATGTGAATCCCGAATGACTTGACGGGCGTGATTAGCATAATTAGCATCCTCATGCCAAGTAAATGGACTTAAGCTCCAGGGAATTTCGATACGTAAAATGAATTTGTTCAAAATATATATATATATACCATCGCAATTTTTTAAAAAAGCCAGATACTCTATATTTGGTTATCAACATATTTTGTAAATGACTTTTACTCATTCCCTCATGCTCACATAGATTGGGATTAGGAATTTGGTCATTGTAATTCCTGTAGTTTGAAGAAATACATTTTTTATTCATGGAAAATTGTTATTTTCAATTAAATGTGTTTTATATTGGTCAAATTGAACTGTCTAAAATGCCGAGAAATTTTTTTCCCCCCAATGTAAAAATAATTCTATATATAAAATATAGAAAAATTATATATATATATATATATATATATATATATAGTATCATCAGTCACCTGATGCATGATGCTTGAAAAAGGAATTTGGCAAACATAGTTGTAATACCTGTAGTTTGAAGGAATACACTTTTTATTCATGGAATATTGTTATTTTCAATTAAATGTATTTCATGTTGGTCAAATTGAACTGTCTAAAATGCTGAGAATTTTTTTTTACCCCCAATGTAAAAATAATTCGATATATAAAATATAAAAAAATTATATATGTGTATATTTTTTTTAATTGCAAACACCTCCCTACACATAAAATATTCAATCAATTGACACCAAGGGAATTAATATACTGTATTGTTTGTATAATCTTTTTTTTTTTTTTTTTTTGCAAATTTTATGCAATTTTGAAGATCGTCTCCGATAGAGCGTCCCTCAAACTCACGTAGGGTCGACAAGTGTTTCAGCTCTGTTTTACGCGACGGAGGTTCAAACAATGGCGAGACATGATTGCAATTTGAATTGTTCTCGTCACTGTTGATGTAGTTGCACTCTTTCATCAGCTTATTTTTCCCAACCAAAAGAAGAGATACTGTAAGTCAGATCTGTCAGTGCTCTGCCTTCTGCTATCAGCGTTTGCAGCTTGTGAACAAGAAAGAAGGGGAAAAAAAAATCTTGACAGGCAGATATGGTTTGTTGTGGTTTTCATGTGTTTGCTACAGCACACTCCCACATCTTATCATGCGCCTCTTTTGCTCCCGCACACACTGTAGCTGCTACAGGAGATAAACCGCACCAGCAGAGGCCTCCGGCGCCGCAGACAGGCGGAGCCCAAGGCGTACATCGCCGCCTACTTCCAAGACCTGCCTAAAGATAGTGCTGATTTTTTATTCTTTAATGTCCCGCTTATCCTCATTAGGGTCACAGGTGAGCTGGAGCCACTGTTCTCACTTTCGATGAGCATTACTTTTTAAACCAAGCGGTCTTAACGTTCTCTCCCCTCTGTCAATAGACGCATAATGTGGGCCGCCATTTGCTCCCGGTTAGACATGTTAATTTGAGCCCTTTCAAGATTTGCAAAACTTGAGAAGCCCGAGGGCGAGAAGCCCCCATAAGACCAGAGCTGATTACAAGACCACCTCGATAACGGGGCGTTTCTTTAATTACGTCCCGTCTGGCTTATCTCTTCGGCTGCAGCCGAAGCGCGCGTGTGTGCCCGCGCGTGTATGTAAATGAAAGCGTCAGAAAAGCGGCGTGATTAAGTAGGTAAGATGATGGACGGGATGAGCTTGGAGGGGGGGTGTATACTTCCTTCCTCTTACGGGTCTTCGCTCACCTTGAATGCAGGTGAAATGATAATGACTCGCAGAGAAAGATCTCCAATTCACTTACTTCAGCGTCTATTTTTCTTCCCAAAGGACACTTCTTTACCTAGTGCTTGAGTACGAAATGGCTCAATCAAGTATCGCTTCTGTTTTGACAGTGTTGGGGACAGATGAAAGGGTACCCGTTGATGCCACACAACTATGTGACGTGACCGTATGTCAGAGTCAACTGGAAAACCAAATGCAGTTGTACCTCTAACGTACGAAATTAATTGGTTCTGGAAGAAATTTCTTACCTCGAAAATTTTGGAAGTCAAGACCCGTTTTCCATGTAAATGCCGTAATCCGTTCCAAGCCACCCCAAAATTCAGACATAAATGTTTTCTAAAGCATAAAAATGCATCAAAGTATGAAACATATACATGGTACAATTAGATGGTTGCACAATAAATGAGAATTGTGCAGAATGTAAAAAACAAAGAACAGAGTAAAGAATAAAAATGATGGTCATCTAACCTTTAAGTGAGTCCTCACCGTATTTTGCCCTCTTTAGTTCATGTTCTCTCTCAGAAGTGGTTTTTGCCTGCTGTTTCGTAAAGAACTGATCCAAGGACGTTTGCTTTTGTCAGCTTTTAACAATAAAAGAATAAAAATGATGGTCATTTAACCTTTAACTGCGTACTCACCGTTTTTTGCCCTCTTTAGTTCATGTTCTCTCTCAGAAGTGGTTTTTGCCTGGTGTTTCGTAAAGAACTGATCCAAGGACGTTTGCTTTTGTCAGCTTTTAACAATCCGTAAAACTAGCGGAACGCCTCATGGCCCAAGGGGCGAATGACGAGGACGCTGCATAGACACAGAGCTATCTATATCTATCGACACACAGAGACACAATCGGTAGAAGTTCCTTTTAGCCAATGGGATAGCAGGATGATGCTCGGTAATAGCCAATAGCAGAGCAGCTATAAGTATGTTGCATTCAGGAAACTGAGCTGCGATTAGCAGGCTATACTCATCATCATATCTTGAAATTTCTTTCGTAACGAGGCAATATTTTCCTATGTCGCGTTCAGGAAACTCTGAGCTGCGATTAGCAGCCCATACTGTATTTTTACCTTTCGTATCTTGAAATTTCTTTCGTAACAAGAGGCAATATTTTCCTGTTGAGACGTTTCGTAACTTGAAAATTTCGAATGAAGAGACGTTCGTAAGGAGAGATACCACCGTAGTCATTAAGACAACTTCTCCACCTCGCCTAGGATCATCTTTGAAACCGCCCAAGGAACTCGTTAACGTCACACCATTTCAGAGAGACCGCGTGCGTCTTCGCTGCCACGTAGATGATCATGAATACAGCCTGAATCCTTGATCCGATTCCACACAGTAAATCCTATGCGGTTCTGGTAGATGCTGCTGTTTTTGATGAACAGCAGGCTAAGTGTCATTGTTCATTTTCCCTGGACACTTGTTGCTAGGTAGAATTCATGGGGCTCACATCCTAAAAAAAAAAGTATGTTGTTTCTAAATATGTCGTATTGTGAAATGCCACCGTTTTAGATCATGTACGCCACCAGCCCGTACTCCGACCCCGTGGTTTCGGCCGACATTGACCCCCAGCCAATCATCGACGAAGAGGAGGGTCTCATCTGGGTGGTGGGCCCCGTCCTCGCCGTCGTTTTCATCATATGCATCGTCATCGCCATCCTGCTGTACAAGAGGTGAGGGCTACCATGCAACCACGCTAGACTAGCCGCTTCAATCTTTTCTTCTTCGCAAAGTGGCGCATCAATAGTTTTGTCTTCTTTTTAGGGAAATACACAATTAACAGGTGGGACATTCTGGATTCGTGTTGCAGGAGTCAATAAGTCGCAGAGAGTATGTGCAGGTCATAAGTCAGAAAAATCAACCAAGTCCAGTCACCACAAAATTTCAAGCAATTCGACTTAGAACTTAACAACGTTATCAGTCTTGTCATACAATCGTGTTCGACTATCAGTAAACTAAATTGTCAAATGAATATCGCTTAACTGTCTCTGTTGGTTTCGCCGCGAGAGACGAAGTTGGATGTCAGAGTTGCGTCGCAAATCTCGCATGTCGCCATTCACGTTTTTCAGCAACTCTGGCAAAAGCATAATACTTAAATCCGGTTGTCATCATCGATCAAGGTGGGCTGCCAGGTTTGAACACACTTCAACATTAAAAAAAAAACAAAAAACTTTTTAGCACTTTATCTTCAAGAGCCCGTTTTTAAATGTAAACAGGCGAGACTTGTCAAGTCAACGCACGTCAAGTCTAAATCAAGTCTTGGCCAAGTTTTAGCCGAGAAATTGCTGAAATTGGCATATCAGACTCAACTCTCCCATGTACTGCTGCAAATGTTTCGCACTGAACTTTTGTAGCGTTACACCCCAACCCTCAATCTGATGATTCAATAAGGCGCCGGTTGCGGCAAAAGACAAACGCGGCAATTAGAACCCAGGAGATGACTTTTATGCTCGAACAAGAAGCAATCAGCTGAAAACGCTCGAATGTTTGAATCTTGCTGGCACCTGGCGCTCTCCACGTTCTTTGAAATGGAGCTTGCCACCGCAGAACCAAGCAGTCGCTCTCAAAGTGAGTCATCACTAAAAAGCCAAGACTGAGATACGATTGGTGTCATTTTTATTTATTTTTTTTTTACGTGGATCTCACTTTATGGAGCCGAAGCACTTATGTATTGTTTCGATCTTTCTCTTCTTGCTAACCAATGGAACAGCAAACCCGACAGGTAAGAGAACCAAAGAAGTCAAATCAAAACTTCCTCGCCCTCGTCAAAGACGTTCATGAGTAACAGCCTCAGAAATAAACACAGTGCTGAATCCGAGTCAGCTCACAGCTGCACGATGCGGCTCCTCTCGCGTTACTTGCCACGATAGTCCGATCGCAGTCAACTCTCACGATTCGCCGAGCGTTCTTGGTTGTCGCTGCCTAAACGACAACGGACTTCTTCCCCGCCGCAGGAAAAGGGCCGAATCGGAAGCCAGGAAAGGGAGCCTTCCCAATAGCAAGGAGATGCCCTTGCATCACCCGACCGACCCCGTTGAGCTTCGCCGCCTCAACTTTCAGACGCCTGGTGAGTACTCGTCCGAAAAATAACCACGGGTGAAAAAAAAAAAACACGACCGGTTGCCGTCTGTCCCCGGCCGGCCTTTTACGTTCATGCCGAGTGTTAGTTATGACACGCCCACTTGACCATCACTGGCTGCAGATGATCACATGACATTGCTTGTCCAATCAGTGCTGTGGGAAATTTAGTTCGCTTAGTAGTTCACGTGTGACTGTCGTGATAGTACGTCGTACAGTTAAAAAAATATATATATATACTTATCTCTTGAATTTTTATTTACTTTTTTACATAAATTTATTTTTCACTCATGAAGGTGTTCGGTGAATGTGCATATTAACCGGTTGGGTTTGGTACCTCTAAAAAGGTTAAAAACCACTGAACTAAACCCTTTCAAGGGACGGCGGTTACTCCAGTGGACATCTTATCATGTTATCAAGTTACAGGCTGTGCGAAAGGGTTCACATTCGATCACTATATATGGAGATCAGGACAAAGCATCAGATGCAAGCAGTGGAATATCCTCCCGTCGGACTCGTGGCTCAACCTTTGGACCGTGGCTCTTGGAGGGATTAGTCTGGGCGACTCGGACGTTTGGCGAAGCCTCCTTGAATACTAAACGTCCAAGTACACGGTCTCGGATGCAAATGCGTTGTTTCCTCCAGTGGGAGAAATTTTTACAATGGTGCCGCGCGGGGGTTGTGAAGGTGCGGTTGTGGTAGTTAATCTATGTCGTATTTTTCGTTGTTTTTTTTTTTTTTTTTTTTTTTTTTTGTCATTCCGCCTAAGTGACATAATCTCTTCGCATTCCCACACAATTTCCTGAGGGGATTCTAGTTTTAAGACCCGAGCGAACTGCAGGCAGAGACGATGGCCAAGTGCTGAGCGAAGGGTTCTTGGAGGCGGGGCGGCGGTCAACGCCGACACCTGTTCTACGATAATAATAATACATTTCATTTATAAGCGCCTTTCAAAATACTCAAGGACACTTTACAATCAAAACGAGGCGTAAGCGACAGGCTTGACGGTTTGGGGTCAGTTGGTGTCCTGCAAGCAGGTCAGGGTTGGAGATCTCGGAATGGCGCTGTGCGGCGCGTCAACTTTAGCGAACCAATTTACGGCGAATGCAAATGCGAGGCATTTTATTCCGTTGTTGCAATCGGATTTTGGCTCATGCATGGAAGCATCCAGCGTCCATTTGTCAACGAGGATGATTTTCTCTGGCACCGGCTGCTTTGGGACACACGGGCCACAGCCAATAATGTTGCTTTATCAAAGCCGCCATCTTCCACATCGGCTCATATGAAAGGATGATGAAGTCTCCCCCCAGGCTCATTTTGGGCGAAAAAAAGATGATGCATATTGACGAAAGCTCTTTTCAGACCATTACTGGTCGTCGCACACGTTTCATTTTTTTTTTTTTCTTCTTCTTTCGGTTCCGAGTGATCCCGTCCACCCAAAATTCAAGTCTCCTCCCGGACCAAAAAGCTTATCTCGCTGTGCTACAAAGTACAGGACATACTTTGACTCTCTTTCTCTCTCACAACACACGAGACCACCTCTTTCCCTCCCTTCCCTTGCCGTCACCCCTCATTGGGCGTTTTCATCTTGAAGGATGCTTGAGCGACCGACAGAAATGGTGCTTTCATTGTCACCCGGTGGTGGAAATGGATTTTAAGTAGCAAGCTGCAATAGAAACACCCTTTCAGAGAGATGTGAGAGTGGATGGGAAAATGAGGCCCTGCTTCCATTAGCTAATGCCCACTTGTGCCAGCGACGCGAATGAAGTGGAGGAGGGGAACAGAGCACCGGCGCTCGTGTCACACAACATTGGCCAAAGGCTCGAGTGCAGTTTTCTAGTCCCCATTGTGGGAAGTGCGTATGAGCCCCATCGCCTTGCGCCTGTATTCATCTGTCAGCGTGTCAAGGTCAGGAAAGTTTGAGCGGAAAAAACTTTTTCGCATTACTGTGAGCCCCCTCCCTGTTAATTTGTCGTCTGATATTCACAAATTGATCTATTCCCTGGAAAACTCGACTCTCGAAAATTACCGGTGTCGAGGAAGTATTGTTGAAGTGATGCATCTGGACTGTTTTAAGATTATGTTTGGATGGAGTGAAATTTAGATTCGTTGGAAGTTGCATGCGGAGGATTCTTTTTTTTTTTTTCTCCTTGTGAAATCAAATCATCTTTTTTGCCATGTATTTTTAAGGGTTGTCTTGTAACGTGTTTTAACTCAAACTGGAATAATCGTTTACGGCATATTTCCGGTTTAAATCAGGGCTGCCTTTTTCGTGGCAGTCCACAATCGTACTTTCCCCACAGAGCGCCGTGATGACCGCAAACTAAAAATTGCCTCATCATACGGTATTTTTACAGAAGCGCAATCGCCCCTGCGTTTGATTATTGTGATTATTGACAAGAAATCACAAGTCACTTAAATAGTGGCAATGAAATCTCTGTATTTGATACTTACGACAGGATTCAGAAAAATGGAAGGGCTCTACAGACGATGAAACTGAAGTGAAATTTTATTTTAGTACAGCCAAAATGAAAAGTCTATTTTGCAAGACATGTGAAGTAAACACACTTTATTTGCTTGAGGGGGGGAGGTACACGAAATGATGTGGCAGTCCAGACTTTAACCTCGGCCTTTAAGTTTGACATTCAACCCGTATAATTTCGGCAATTATGAATATTTTCAGGTGGGAACATCAATGACTCACGTTCCTAAATTATCTTCCGTGAATACGGGTAGTTTACTGTACCTCAAACGCCCATGTCTAATTTGTGCTGCTACGGTCGTGACTGCTTACGCCAATGACCTAGCCCAGTGTCTAGCATGACGTCACTAATAATTAACCCATTGAGCAGACACGCAAATCATTTCACCGTCTTGACGCCATGTTTCCACCAAGCGGCACAGTTCAACGCACGACAGACCGTTTCGCTCTCGCTGTGCCCAAATCTTGCCTCGTCCGCATCACCGCTTGGTGTAAACACCGGGCTGTACGCGCTTCACTTGGCCGCTATGACACAGATACTTAATGAGCATTTCCTCCACAGGTGCGCGCTCGTCCGGTCACCCAAGTAGCCTCCATTTGTCAAGTTAGTTGGCCTCAATTACACATTTGCCATGAATTATATTCCCCTTCCCCCCTTCTTTCCCGCCTAGCCTCCTATCCCCATCTAATCCGCTTTGGTGTTAACGCCGTGTCATCGAGGGAGGCGGGAAAAATGACAGGCGAGGAACATCAATCATCCCTGCGAATAGAACTCTCTCTCTCTCTCTCTTAACATCTTCTCCTCCTCATGCTAACTTCCCAACCTAGCTTTCTATGGGAATAGCAACCCTTGTGTGCTAACCTCCCATTGGCCTCCATGTCGTCTCCATTCAAGCATGGCGCACAAACTAGCCTCACTCGATCAAATCTTCCGCCTCCACGCTACTCATGCTTATCTAATCAGTTTGCTTGCGCTTGGGGTTCAGATTTTTGGGAGGTTGTTTTGTTGTTGAAATCCCAAAGGAAAAGCGTCTGCATACAACCGACCTGCACTTCCCTCTTTGACTGACAGGTATGGCGAGCCACCCACCAATCCCCGTCATGGACCTGGCGGAGCATCTGGAGCACTTGAAAGCCAACGACAACCTCAAGTTTTCCCAGGAGTACGAGGTGAGCCGTGATAACGGTCGAGCCGCCGTGCGCCGTCGTCAAATCATCAGAAACGCATGATTGTGGTGGGCATATGCGCCGATTGGCGTTTTGCCTCCAGATGTAATCCCGTCAGAGTGCGGGCACGTCAACAATGCCTGCTGCCGGAAACGGCGTTATGCATGTACGCGGCATGTAGCGCAGCCGGTACGCCTTTTTGACACGAGGTAAACCGCGTGGCAAAAACTGTTTCATCAATATATCAGGGCAGCGGTGTCAGAAAATAAATAAAACATTACAATCGCTTATACAGTCAAACCTCAGTTTTCGTCCATAATCCGTTCCAGAAGGCTGTTCGAAAACCGAAATTGTTCGAAAACCGAAACCACGTTCTTTAAAATAAAAATGTTGACTGAACACGTCTGCTCACAATAGAAAGCAACACGAGGAAGCGTCACTTCCTCGTGTAAGGAAGGCGAGAGGAGTCAAATGGTGCATTCAAGTGCGCTCAGTTCGTTCGAGAAACGAAATTTGTTCGTCATCCGAGGCATAAAAAAATTGAAATTTTCGGTTGAAAACCGAATTGGTTGAGAACCGAGACGTTCGAAAACCGAGGTTTGATTGTATTAATAACGTCATAAAAAGATTGCCTTTACAAATAATTGTTTGTTTAGTATTTGATGCTGATAAAAAAATTCACTGGGTGTATGTATGGATATACACGGAAGGGAAAGGCGTTCAGAAAACTCCACTAACAACCCTGGCTAAATTTAACTGGTACAAATCTTGTCAAACTTCCTTGACATCAATACCTATTTACAAAACAGACAGGGCATCCTAGGGCATCATTTTCCTCTACAGAGCACAAAAAAATTCAAGCAGTCTAAGAATACTAAGGTATTTCACACAATAATACCAAAAAAAAAAAAAACATATCACAAAAGAGGATTCTGGCTGAGAATGAATTTAGAGTGCAGTAATGTCTGCTATAAAAGTATGAAATGAAAGTCTGAAAAAAAATAACAGGGATGTGGAATTCAGTGCAATTACAGCTTTTGCATTAAAAAAAAAAATTAAGAGGTGATTTTTTTTTTAAGCAAATTGCTGGTGATAGAGAACTCATGGGAATTGGTTGAACCACAAATATGCATGTACTTACTGAAACTTTATTTCAGTAAAAATGAAAAGATTTTTGCTTCTATGGCTTTTTTTTTTGAGTGACCCTTATTCCGAAATCTTTTGTCCGAGCTAAAATCGGACAAAAGTTGGGCATAAATGCCCCTTCAGTTCACATAGCATCAGAGTGCAGTGATGTCTAACTGTTTGACTTCTTCTTTGGCTTTTTTGGGGGGGGGGGGGGATATGATCCTGTCTTACTGACGGCCAAGGTTGCTTGCTCTTTTGCCACAGTCCATCGACCCCGGGCAGCAGTTCACCTGGGAGCACTCCAACTTGGAGGTGAACAAACCAAAGAACCGCTACGCCAACGTGATCGCCTATGACCACTCGCGAGTCTTGCTCTCCGCAATTGACGGTACAACGCACCCTTCCTCCATCCTGCTTCATCAAAACATGACCACACTGTACTTTTTTTTTTCTCCTCCCCCTTCTCCCTCCTCACACCAACATGTCATTTGCTTTCATGCGGCGGGTTGCTCGCGGGGAAATAGATGGCTTTTTGAAATAGGCAATTTTCCCCCGCGCCTCGCTGAGCTCGGCACTCGAATACGATTGAACAATCACCTGCAAAAACCTGAGAGATGCCAGTAAGTTGGATTTCTCTCCGGCGCCGCGCCGCGACTATTTTTTGGAATCACGCGCGGGAACTCAAGATGCGACATATGCAGATATAGTTTCAACAGATGCCGACAGAATAATCACCAAAATAATCATGAACGAATACATGCGTACCAGGGAGTTCCCTCAGCACATTCCTAACGACGGGAAAGTTCTTCACTCCATTTGGATTGTAGTCTTTAAGCTAAATGAAATGCGTCCGAGTTTTTTCCCGGCAAACCCGTCGGGCCATTCCTTACTATCGACTGTGTAATGGAGTTTCAATCAGTCACATATTGTTTTTTTTCTTTTCCTCCAGCTCATAAGCAGACAGAACAAATGACATAATTAATGCAAATCCTGACTGGCAGACCGGCATGAATGCATCGGCTCGCCGAACTAAACATCTATTCATTGTGCTATTAAGCAAAACAAAAAAAATAATGTTTGGGTTTTTTTTTTCTTTTCAGTTGTGAATTACAGCGTGCTTAATTGTGTCTTTTGCCTTTGTCCGTCACTGAATATATGTGGACAGCAAAAAAAAGTGACAACATAATAAAGAGATGTGGCTTTTTCACAATACTTTTTTGTCTATCCGCTAAAAGTTACCTGGGAGGAAAGAAAGGGAGGAGGGGTTGGGGAAAGAGAGATTGGGAGGAGAGGGGGGGGGGCAGCCGAGGGAGGGGGTGATTCTCCGAGACGTGGCGTCCATGCAGATGAGACTTATCTTGGTGGAGCATGTGTGCGCCGAGCCCCGAAACTGCCAGTCCTGAAGCATTGACTGGCTGTCAGCTCTGCCTCTTTGCGCTGGATTAGAAAAAAAAAAAAAACTGTGCCTTTCATTTAAAATAAGCAAAGGGATGGAGGAATGGAGACTTGTTTTCCTGCACAGCAATTTTGCCACTTTTACACTTTGCGTAAAAAAATAACAATAATAATAATTTCGGTGCACCTCCAAACAGCCCATTTTCTACTGGAAACATCATTGGGCATTTGGATTTGTCCTCATTACGTAGATAATCACGCTTACTTTAGATTGACATTGACTGAAATGTGTCTATTTGGTGAAAAATACGCATTATATTATATCAGATATTTACGGATAATCCCACTGAAAAAGGGATCACGATAAATCACAAAGAATGAAACCAACCATCTTTTTTTTTCTTTACTTTTCATTGAACAATTGTACTGTATTCTATTTTTTTACAGTAGCACTGTTATTTTTTTAATGTCATTTATGAACAGTGAACAGGATGCATTTAGCCGACTAACTGCATTTCTACATATGGACAAATGTTCCTCATTGAATTCTCTCCTTCCAACAAACGTCCCTGCAATCTGCTCTTTTGATTGCTCCTTAACCACCTCAACGTTACTCCACTCCCACCTCCCATCTAGGCATCCCGGGCAGTGACTACATCAACGCCAACTATGTGGACGGCTACAGGAAACAGAACGCGTACATTGCCACGCAAGGCTCGCTGCCCGAGACCTTTGGGGAATTCTGGCGAATGATCTGGGAACAGAGGAGCGCCATCATTGTCATGATGACCAAGCTGGAGGAGCGATCCAGGGTAGGGCACGTCACGGTCTTTATGTTACACGGAAGGCCTCTGCCAAGGCAGTGTCGAAAGAGATTCGGGTTCGTGATTTTTTTTCCCTTTGTAATGCTGGATTGTTGGATCCAAATGACCATCCTTGGTGGCTGCCTCAATTGAAGCAAATGCCAATCAAACTTGATTTTGAATATGATTATGCTAATCTCAGCTTTTTTTTTTCCCCATAAAACGCCATTAAGGGATACCGTATTTTCCGCACTAAAAGGCGCACCTGAAAGCCTTCCGTTTTCTTAAAAGCTCACAGCGCGCCTGAAAATCCGATGCACCGTGTGTATGGTCATTACGGTAATATGTCAACCCCAAAATGGCTCCTTGTTAGAGACATGCTTACAACGCAGAGTTCAAACTTAAGGCGATCGGGTTTCGCAGTTGAACACGGAAATAGAGCAGCGGCAAGAGAGTTCAACGTAAACGAGTCAATGTTATAACTTGCTGTTGGTTAAGTGAACTGTGCCGCTGCTTTATTAAATAAGTTTTACTGACATCTGATCATCGCTATAAAAATCAGAGTGTAGTGTAGTGTCGTGTTCTGTTGGTATTTCCTTGAGCGTACCTCCATCTAGTGGATGCATTGTAAATTGCGTCTTATAAAGCGGTGCGTCCAATATATGAAAAAAATTACAAAATAGGCCATTCATTCAAGGTGCGCCTCATGATTCTGTGCACCTTTTAGTGTGGAAAATACGGTCGTGTGCGGGCCAAAGGAATTACAATTCACGTTCGCCACAAAACATGGACGGTTAGTGTATGGACAAAGAAAGAATTATAATATGGTATGGATTTGGATTTGGATTCTTGTGTTGCCCAGCCTTGGGTGGAGGTCTGCCATCAAGAGTGGCATCCAAATTTGTTGGTTGATTATCAGTTTTAATCCGGAGTGATTTCTTCAAGAACATGGAAGCTTTGGATCTTTCTTAAGGACGAATCACGTCAATTTTGGTTTGGATCGAGAAGCTACTAATGTAGCGTGTGCTCTAATGTGACTTTCGTGGCAGGTCAAGTGTGATCAGTACTGGCCCACCAGAGCAACGGAGACATACGGCCTCATACAAGTGACTCTGCTTGACACGGTGGAGTTGGCCACATACTGCGTCAGGACATTTGCACTTTTTAAAGTAAGGGCGCTCCATTGCTCCTTTTATGAGGTCTACCATCAATGGGAATTGGACTCTCATTGACCTGCTGGCTTTTGCTCACGTAGAACGGCTCCAGCGAGAAGCGGGAGGTCCGGCAGTTCCAGTTCACGGCCTGGCCGGACCACGGGGTGCCGGAACACCCCACGCCCTTTCTTGCCTTCTTGAGACGGGTAAAGTCGTGCAACCCTCCGGACGCCGGGCCCATGGTGGTGCACTGCAGGTAGCGAATTCTGTGCAAATGACGAAAATAACCTCAAGCATGAAATTGATTCCCCCCCCCCGACCCCCTTTCAGTTTGCTGGAATGAATCTATGAATACGTATGACAATGTATGAGGGGTTTTAATCATTTTAATGGATGAACTCATTAGCAAATAAAATCTCCCAAAATCACTTCAATGGTAGGTAGATGAACCCAGAAGTCTCATTTTGTGTTAAGAGGTGCGCGCACGCACACACACTCGCTCACTCACTCATTTTTAACATCCATCTCGACATTTTCTATCGCCCTTGTCCTTCTTAGCTTGCCCGATCTGAGACAGCGGAATTCTCCACCAGCCAGTCGAAGCGAATGTTTAACCTCTTAAACCAGTGTTTTATCAAACATAAGACAAGTGAAAAAAAAAAACTACCTCAATTAAAGGTTTAATAACAAACATTTAAAGACGAAATGCAACTGAAGTTAAATACAACAGTGAACTGTAAATAGGGAGTTATTGTTTCGGATACCACAAGAGGGAGCCCTGTTGGAAAACTTGCAAATACCAAAGAGCGAAGTCGGCGGAGGTTCGCTGTTTATCGGGACATGATTACCTTTCAGAGCATTTCTATATACTTGCTAATTTGGTCTTGGAAAAAAAAAAAATCTTAAATCCCATACGAAGCAGCCCCCTGGGCTTTCTCCTTAAATCTTTTCACATGACGGTGCAAGAAGTCCCCACACGAAGCAGCCCACTTGGTTTCTCAGCAAACCTTTTCAACATGACGGTACAAGAAGTCCTGGTGTCATTCCCCTCAGCCAACATCTGCCCCCACGCGCTGCCACAAAGCTTGCACAGATCTGTCGCTGCGCTGCAAACATCTCGCGCATTTTCAGATCCACGAGTGCCAGCCAGCTTTCTCCCCCTCGGGTTCTCACATCTTAAACAAATTACTCTCAACGCGACTCCATCAATGTCCGCACTCCTTAGCAGGGTGCCGCTAAGAGTGTTTGGTGTGTGAACGCCCTCAGAAGAAAGAGAAAGTAGACGCTGCAGTTAGAAACCGATGTCAGAAAGTGACAAAAGAGGGAAAGGGGGCTCAGCGCGGATTTGGAAGTAACACGTTGCGTCGTTAATTAGCGACGTTTGCTTCTGATTGAACGCGCTAACTTTCCACAGTGGAAGAGAATGCGCGACTTCATGTAGATGGGAGCTTTTAATTCCAGCGGCTCCCTATCAGACCGAAGAGGAAAAACACATCCCATCCGTCCGTCCTTGATGTTTGAATGCAATTTTAAAAAGATCAATTTTTAATTTGAATGCCTGCAAAAAAAGGAGCAATCTGAGTGTTGTGCGCACGTCCCTGGAGTTGACAAGAAGATTTGGGGGGGGTTCTGTCACGCCCAAGCTGTAAAATCCGCTCTGATGATGACAAAATCAACAAAAGCCAGTCCCTCGGCTGGTTGATTCAGTGTGCAAATCGGAGCTTTGTTCAAACACGACATGTCACATATAATTAAGGATGCAACATTTATTTGGTAGAAACTGACGGGTTGAGAAAATGATTCGCTAATATTTAAAAGTGTGAGCACGTTATTACTTCCCAGCGTCCTTCGAAGATGAACTTGTCTTAACAATGCTCAATCGTGAACGATTGCGTTTATCATTGTTCTGACGGAATTTTTGATGCCTTGCCGATTCAAATTGAAAGGTATCCATACTTTAAGGTGGGTGGTCGGACACCCGCGGCTCTTTAGCGCCGCCCTAGTGGAGCTTTTTCAAAAAGGTTTGAAAATGGAAAAAGATTGGGGCAGCGAAATATATTTTTTGTTTGAATATGGTTTCTGTCGGAGGAGAAATGTTCTTAATATTTTCCAGTGCTGTAAAAATGTGAAGAATAAATATGAAATGTCAACATTTCTGTCAGGGGAAGATTTGCGTCATAGCCTGCGACACACGTTTCTATGAGCCGGGCGGGATGCCAGGCAGGTGGCTGTTGTTAAAAAAAAAAAAAAAATTAAATGTACAATTCACCGAGGGTACTGGCAAAGAATGGGAATCTGGATGGCCGAGAGAAGCATTTTTAAACCGTACACGTGAGCTACAACAGTGAACACGCCACAAAAATGCGTCCCTCGTTCATCTTAGGGGCCGTTACGGCTGTTGCTCATTATGGCATGTGTGTTTAAGTGCGCGCGTATGCACATTTTGGGTTTCCGACCCCTGCTTTAAGGTTACTCAACACGAGACACCAATATATATTTTTTTGGGGGTGGGGGGGGGGTTCAAACAGAACCTTGGAACGAATGGCGTTCAAGTTCTTGCAACAGTTAACCGCACAAAGTCAGCTCACCCCGATCCGCTTGGTGTGTGCGTGTCGGTCCGCTTGGCACGCTCGCTGACAGCAAGAGATTTGGTAACAATACATATGTAATTGCTTTGGCTGCTCTGCATCCTTTATCTTCTCGCGGCTCAGTGCAGCTGGATTTTACAGTGCGCTTCCCCTCCGCTCGACCCCCCCCCCCCCGCCCACTTCCCCCATTCCCTCAACTTCTGGAAAGCACATCAGTCTGACACTTAATGTGTGTTAACGTCCAAAGCAGCTGGCCCGACTGGCTGAGAAGCCAGTGTCAGGTCATTAGTGCACTCCCGTCTGCCAGCTCCCCGCCGACTGCCAACAACACTGATGCCTTATCTGCACTTGTCAATAAAAAGAATATAGCACATGTTCCCGGCATTCCTTGCTCTTATGTTCAACAGCACATTTGCTTAATATATTCTGCGCCTCCGTCTTGACATGAAGCTAACTGACAGCGTGTGTGTCCCCCCCCCCCGCATCTCTGCCACTCTGTCACGCATTGGATCTCAGGTCATCACTCTGCCGGGGACGTGGTTTGCGCCGCAACGTGTTTGCAATCATGAAAAGTCGGGCGCGAATCCCGCAGGGGGCTGAGAAGCGTCTCAGCCCCTGCGGGTTGATTTGCGCTTTTGAATAGTTTTGCATTTCATTGCCACCTGATTCTTTTTGTGCTCTAAAGCGTTGAAAAATTGTCACCGGAAAAAAAAAAAAAAGATCCTGTATGATAAAAAAGTTCAGTCGCAGTCAGCCTTTTTTCCTCAGTGATCATCAGATCATTTGTTCAAGCCAATGACTCCCACGCGCGTCTTTATTCCATTCGCCGCATGGCACATTAGGCAAACTTGGCCTCCGGCGGCCAACTTTACTCCCTTCCGAGTTGGCGCTCTGCTCGTTTTTCTTTTCTTTCCTGAGCAAATGGAAAAACAAATGCGCCATCGCGAGGCGGAAGCGCAAGATCAAGGCTCCCACCTCGCGGGAATGTCAGCGTCACGGATCGAATGACCTATTTACTTTGGCTTGCGAGGGCTCCGAACTTGGCGAACGGGATTTAGCGTCACCTCTTTGAAGTGCAAGTCCTGAGAACTGCAGTTTTTTCCTTGTAAGATCAGTCCTGATGGGTCGGAAAAGCACAGGTGGCATAAACAAGACTGCGGCAAAGCCAGAGACCACCTCGCCGTTGCCAAATCCCCATCACCACTCCGTGCCACTTCAAGTTTAATTATACCCAGCGTCAAATGGTCAGACCTTTGGCGAGGAACATTCTCTGCTTTTTCATTAGCCCTCTTTCGGAAAATAATTCGATCTGTGACAACGTGAATGTAACTTTCTCTTCCCTTGTCGCCTTGACAGCGCCGGCGTGGGTCGCACGGGTTGCTTCATTGTGATCGATGCCATGCTGGAGCGAATCAAGCACGAGAAGACCGTGGACATCTACGGGCATGTGACGCTGATGCGCGCCCAGCGTAACTACATGGTGCAGACCGAAGACCAGTACGTCTTTATTCACGACGCGCTGCAGGAGGCCGTCAACTGCGGCACCACCGAAGTGCCCGCCCGGAACCTCTACGCTTACATCCAGAAATTGACGCAGATAGAGGCCGGAGAAAATGTCACCGGCATGGAACTTGAGTTCAAGGTTGGTTGTCCCGATGAAGGTGCAAATTCTGCCGCTCCAAATTACTTCCTTTGAACCCTTAACATACTCTGCAATGTTAGCGCCGGAAAAACTTCAAAGCGTTCCCTTGGAGCCGAAGTTCTTTCTGGAAAAATTTGTGCCGACTGTTTCGTCAGTGACTCCTACTGTATTCCACATTTTCGCACGGGAAAATATGCCACTAAAATTAGCACAACTGCAGACATTTTAAAGCCCATGAGACCATGATGCCTATTTTCTGGTATAGTTTGTGCAATACACCTCAGGATTTTTTTTTTTCCCTTCTCTGGTTTCCCTTACAGTCGATTCCCAACGTTGGTACACATGCAGGGTTTTCCCCACAGCATATATCTGCCAAACCAAAGGGCTCGGGCAATATTTTCTGTTGTATCGCATCCCTCCGACCATCTGCTCTTTTCGTTCCTCTCTGTTCAAACGCAGCGTTTAGCCAACACGAAAGCCCATACGTCGCGATTCATCAGTGCCAATCTGCCGTGCAACAAGTTCAAGAACCGCCTTGTCAACATCATGCCATACGAGTCCACGCGCGTGTGTCTCCAGCCCATTCGAGGAGTGGAGGGATCGGACTACATCAATGCAAGTTTCATCGACGGCTACAGGTAAACGTAGCGTGACCGCGTTTCGACTCTCGGGCTATTGCCGCTAACCGAAGAGATGCTCATCCCACCTGTTGTCTTCTCAGGCAACAGAAGGCCTACATTGCCACACAGGGACCACTGGCAGAAACCACAGAAGACTTCTGGAGGATGCTCTGGGAGCACAACTCTACCATTGTCGTGATGCTAACGAAGCTCAGAGAAATGGGCAGGGTATGCTTACAATTTTTTTTTAAAAAAGACCTGTGAGTGCACACCATGGGCCGTTTGTGGATTCCTTGTGCTTGTGTCTTCCAGGAAAAATGCCATCAGTACTGGCCCGCAGAGAGGTCAGCCAGATACCAATACTTTGTGGTGGACCCCATGGCCGAGTACAACATGCCGCAGTACATCCTTCGGGAGTTCAAAGTGACAGACGCCAGGGTAAGCAGACGTTGCCGTAGTGTCGAGTGTGTGTTTATCCCAAATTAAGAGTCTTTTCAGCATAAATGTGGGGAGCAGCTCAATGCAGCCAGACTTTCTAATTCCATCAAAGGCTTACCACAGATAAAATGGCACAAGCTCCCTTCTTTGTACTGCATGTTATACTGGCTCCTCAATGGGATTGCTGTCCTTATCAAAGGGATACAATGTGACGAAGTCATACACTGGCAGTCAGCTTAACATCAAACAAATCACCATCTTTTTTTTTGGCACATGCAATGACAGACACCATTAATACGACATCCGCTCCCGTGTGCAAACTGTCCACCTCCATGGCCGTTTTTCTCTCTCCCAGGATGGACAGTCACGAACGGTGCGACAGTTCCAGTTCACAGACTGGCCCGAACAAGGAGTGCCGAAATCCGGGGAGGGCTTCATCGATTTCATCGGCCAAGTACATAAAACGAAAGAGCAGTTTGGCCAAGATGGGCCTATCTCGGTCCACTGTAGGTAAGTGAAAGTTGCACACGAGGTAGACCTTTTACTCTGGCAGTATTCAACGGGATTCAACAACTTCATTGACAGAAGGAGGAAATGACTAATTCATAGACAGCATGAACCGGCTACTTACCGTATTGGCCCGAATATAAGACGGCCCTGATTATAAGACGACAAGTTTGAAAAAAGACTTTTTGAACACCAAATTAATTTTTATACAGAAAATAATTACAGTACATCTGAAACAAATGATTATAACAATATATTTGAGAGAAAAAGTATGTTATTTTGCATCATTCAAATCTTAATATCTGAACATTTAAACATGTCAACTAAAGTGCAATTACATTCGTAATTGAATGGCTTCTGGTTTTTGAAATGTAAATTACATCATAACTTCTCCTCAGCTGCCGGTTAACCTGGCTGATCTTCGACCCACTTTTCTCCAGATTGTCGCTACGTTTCTCAATTTTCTGTTATCTCTTCAATCATTTTCTCCTCTTTTCTTTCTTACCGCTATTTTTTATTTTTCTTCTTCGTGCTACCGCTATTTTTATTTTTATTGTTCGTGACAAGGGTTCAGTTTGGCCTGGGGAGTAAGTTCAGCATTTGCTTCAATGATATCTGGCGCCATCTAGCGTCATGAATGAGTATAATGTCTAGACCCCAAATATAAGACGACCCCCACTTTCTTAGTCTTATTTCAATGCAAAAAAGACCATCTTATATTCGGGTCAATACGGTAAGTTGTGGCACCGGCAAACCCTCGTACAAGAAAATGCCAGACAACCAATCCTGTCTCTGAGCCGTGGTACTTGTGGCTGTGTCTCAGCGTCTCCTTGCCTGCCCGTCTTTCTCCCCTTGCGCAGCGCTGGCGTCGGTCGGACCGGCGTCTTCATCACCCTGAGCATTGCCTTGGAGCGAATGAGATACGAGGGCGTCGTCGACATCTTTCAGACTGTGAAGATGTTGCGGACACAGAGACCAGCCATGGTGCAGACAGAGGTACGACCGCATATGGCGAGTCAGCCCTTTGTCACGTTGCCATAGAATCCCGACCTCGGCATGTATTCAAACACTTAAGTTCCACATGTACACCACAGTAAGTCTTGCAGGTGGAATTCTCATCCGCATAAAAAAAAAAGGAACAAAGTGGACAACTGAGGACATTTAGCAACGTATCCCAATCCCATTGTCAATATCAACGAACTGCAGTTTATAAGTAGTTACGGTCTTTAGACCCGTATCTCACCGAGCGGTGAATAGTTTGCAAATGTGTGCGCCCTTAAATGAATGTTGAACCTTCTGCATGCTTTCAAGCCCTCCCCTCACTGAAACTAACAAGCAGGACAGCTCATCACAAATATCTACCGCCTCGTGTTTCCATGCATTAGTCAGGAACGCAGTAAACAAAAGGAGCACATCCGGCATCCCATTCCGTTGTCATTGGTACACATAAATATCAGGAGAATGAATTGTCTTGCTCTGGCCTTTCGTTACCCAAACAGAAGGGTGGCGGGGTTCAGGTGACAGCTTTTGAAAACCTGCTACCCTACGGAACTGAATTGTCCCGTCTTCTAGTTCTGTCCTTCTAGATCACGGGTCGGCAAGCCAAAATGTTCAAAGAACCATATTGGACCAAAAAACAAAAAACAAATATGTCTGGAGCCACACAAAATGTAAAGCCTTATATTAGCCTTACAATGAAGCCAACGCATGCTGTGTGTATTTATATTAGCCTGCTATCAAAATGACTAAGTTGGCTACAAATACACAATGAGCCTTCATGATGAAATGCATTTTTCGCTGCAGTGCATCATGTTGAGCAGGGCTGCCCAACGTTTTTTCACCTAAGATCTACTTTTCGATCAACCAACCTCCCGCGATCGACCTGTTACCGCGCACGCACGCACTTACGCATGCATGCCATAATGACCCCTAAGATGAACGAAGCAGAAAAATTAAGTTGACACGAGTTTGTGAAAAGGAAATTATCGCCTACTTTGGGTGAGACCTGACCTTTTTTTTACAACAGCCACCTGCCTGGCATCACGCCCTGCTCATAGAAACGTATGTCCCAGGCGATGACGCAAATCCTCATTGGCAGAAATGTTTAGATGTAATATTTATTCTACACATTTTTACAGCATTGGAAAACGTTAAGAATGTTTGTGTCATGTTCGTCCTCGGACAGAAACCATATTAAAACAAAAAATATCTTTCCCTCCCCCATCTTCTTCTTCCATTTTCAAACATTTTTGAAAACGCTCCAGGGAGCCACTAGGGCGGCGCTAAAGAGCCGCAATGCACCTCCGGATCCGCGGGTTGCCGACCCCCATTCGAGATCTACAAGCGTGTCTGTCACAAGCATGAAATGTTGCCTTTTGCAAATTCATCTCCAGTGCCGAAAACTCTTTGTTTGTGTTTTTTTTTCCTTCAGGATCAATACCAATTCTGCTACAGGGCTGGATTAGAGTATCTGGGAAGTTTTGATCACTATGCAACGTAAAGGACTCAGCATCAGAGGGAAAGGTGGAAAGGAAAGAAAAAAACCCAGTTGCGCCTCTCTTCTGAGCCATAAATTACTGCTTGAGAACGTAAAAACTCCTTGCAAACAACTCATTAAAAGTCGGATGTGTGACATGATACTGCCACAGACAAAAAAAAAAAAAAAGATTCCCTGGAGGACCAAGTATTTCCCCAATTCAAGCTTAAACTGGCCTTGTCACCACGTGATGGAATCCGGACCATTGAAGCACCTCGTTGGATTTTTTTTGGGGGCTTCAAGGATTTATTTGGGAGCAAACGAACCCGGCGGAGAATGAGACTCGAGCAGGGTGAAAGCATTATGAAAAGGCATCAGAGGAGCATGGAGGGGAACTTGACGCACATTGTAAAGAAAAATAAATCACAATCACACCCGTCGGGAAAAGCCGGACAATGCTCGAATGGACCCTGACATTGAAGTACTCGTCCTGTCTCAATGTTCATCATCTCAAGTTTGCGAGGGGATATACAAAGAAAAAAAAAAAAAAGATCTATGGAATAAATCAAATGATTAATTTAGTTTTTTAGGACTCTATTATACAACCGATGTGATTTTTTTTTTCTTTTGAAAATGTGTAAATGTCTTTTTTTTTTTTTTTTTTTACACTCTGAAAGAAGAATATCGATATCATACAAATGTTCCCTTTTCTTCAAGCTGTTTGTGCATTTACAATTTTGGTTTGTAGCACATGGATTGACTTAAAGAAAAAAAAAAGGCTGAGAGCCAGTCTTTGCCGCGATTGTTTTTGATTTGCATACACCTCCCATCCGATAAACTGGGGCTTTGTGGAATCAACAGGGATGAGCAAAGTATGAAGTTGCTGCTATGAATTATCTGAGTTCTTCCATGTCAGGATGATGAGAAGGATAAATGACATAAGTTCTATATATCTATATATACATCTATACATATATAATCAGATGTGAAATACCAATCATATTCTAAATATAAATTTGAAAAGAAAATGTCTATTAGCCGGTGAACGCTTCTGAATGGTGTGGGGAAAGTGACGTTTCACTGGAATGCACATCAATAGGACACCATTCTGATTCAATGCATCTTTTCTCGTGCAATAAATGATGTGTTATTAAGTCGCGACACCCGGCTCCCGACAGGCGTCACGTGGAAATGTACATCAGCCGCCTGTCACCCACCGCTCCATGCAATTGGGCAAAGTATAAAAAAAAAACAACGCCGTGTGTTATTTAAAACCCTTTCTCGAGTATTCCTTTTCCCATTTTGCATTTAGTGCCTTATATTTATGCCTGTTTTTTTTATACCATTTCAGTGTATCTTTTGAGTATTCAGCTTATATGTCAATATATAAATATATATGTGTGTTCATTTACACTCATATTCGCAATGTCACCTGAGATTATATATGCAAGCAACATTTTGACGCTCATTCTGTCATTTTCAGTGGCCTTACCGTGGCTGGGTTGGTGCGACTAGTTCACGGACCTGGAAGGAAAATAGGAAAATTCAGCTTTTGAAGAGTTCACATTTTACAAAAGGAGAACGAGGAGAACAGTGTTGACGCTGTCAATCATTCAAAATGAGGGTGACCTCTAAAATGGAGGTTATCCGAGACAGATTTTGAAATTCCATACATCCACATGCATTCTGCGTTGGCTCGCAAAGCCAAAATAGTCAAAGCAAACGGAAAAAAAAAATCATAATGGATAAAGACAGATGCCACTCAAGTCCGATCATGACATTTCTGTCACATTTCAAAAGTCAACGGTGAAGCAAATGAGTGAAGAAAAATGGCTACCGAACAACCCTCCTGAGAGAGCCTGACAAGACAAAAAAATAAATAAATTGAAATTTCATCAACACAGACTCATCACAAACATCGGTATTTGAGCCAGTAAAATTATTCACGCCGTTATTTTGTTAATGGTGCTACATACATTGTAGATGGTGCACTGGGGGAGGCAAACTTTTTTTTTTTTTTTTTTTTTTTTGGGTGCGATAGATAGCTTGCAAAATTTCTGAATTTTCTGACCATATTTTTCAACACCGTCAGAGAGTGAGGTGGAAAATGGGTGGACCATCATAACTCAACAAAATTCAACCCTTTTGGATCCAAAATTTGGCACACACATTGACATGAAAAGAATTGACATTGATTGGCATCTTTGACCACAATTTTTTCGCTATTTGTGTTGGCTTCATGGATGTGCATTCCAGATCTTTCTTTCCCTTACAAACACAGTTACCTAAACTTTTTTTTTTTTGGTTAATTTCCAGACAAAAGTACTGTTATGATGTAGTGGCTAAAGTTTTTTTTTTGTTGTTTCTTTGTTTGTTTATGTAATTTGCATGGTCAAACCTTTGCAGGATGGCCCAGAAGTCGGCCCGGAAAGGAAGATTTGCACTTTCTCTATCTTTGTACTATGCACTGCCCTATTGATTCTAGACCCAATAATATATTACTTGAACCCATTACGGAAAAAAAAGTCTCCTTCAACATTCACTTTGTGTGTATGTAAATAACACAAAAAGGTATCAACTATTTAAAAAAAAAACAAAAAAAAGGCAAAAAAAAAAGTTGTGAAAAACAAAAAAAAAGAGCATCCAATCTGTTGCTGCAGTTACTCCAGCAATGAGTCCAGAAAATTCTGCCGCCCCGCCCCCAAGATCACATGTTCAGCTTGGAGTGTCATTAACAGAAATAAACGTTGTGTTCCTCTGCTCTCTCTATCTATCTCTCGTCTGGATGCGTAGACTGAAAATGAAGTCATGAAATTATTTCCAAAAAAAAAAAAGTTGTTAAAAAGTTCATACAATTACCTCTGATTAGTTGTAAGCGTAAATTGTTTCTTTTTTTTCCTGAATGAAAGGAGTGCTTTTTATTTTCTTACTTAGGTCACACTGGTGGAGAAAGAAGTCTGTATGAGAAATCGAAAAATTCACATTTGTTATAAATGAATTCTATTAAAAAAAAATGTCTGTGTGATGCACTGGCGTTTCACTCGATTCCCTTGATCAGGCATCAAAGGTTTTACAATTTTAAAGTTGCCCGTGTGTCTTTGCAGTGTTTCCCAATCTTAAGTGAGCCAAGACATATTTTACTTTCGAACAATGTCACAGCACACAGCAATCCAAATAATCACAGAAATTATATGGAAGACAGTGGTACTTATGAACGTCTCTTCATACGAAATTTTCAAGTTATGAAATGCCTCAACAGGAAACTATTGCCTCTGGTTACGAAAGAAATTTCAAGATACGAAAGGTAAAAATACAACATGGGCTGCAACTCACAGCTCCGAGTTTCTCTGGACGCAACATTCTTATAGCTGCTCTGCCATTGGCTATTACCTGGCATCTTCCTGGCATCCCATTGGCTAAGAGGGACCTCTACCGGATGTGTCGATGTGTGTAGACAGATAGAAGCCTATGCAGCGTCCTCGTCACTCGCCCCTGCCATGAGGTGTTCCAATAGTTTTACGTAAATGTGAATCACCCAGTGTTCCCCACACGGGCGATCGTTCACGATGCTGATGATTGCCTTGGACGTTTTCGAACGATTGTGAAAAGGATCAGTTCTTTCCAAAACGCCAGACAAAAACCACTTCTGAGAGAGAACATGAACTAAAGAGGGCAAAAAAAAAAACGATGAGGACACAGCTAAAAGTTAAATGACCATCATTTTTATTCTTTTTTTCTTAGTTTTTTTACATGATGCACAACTCTCATTTATTGCGCAATAATCTAATTGTAACATGTATTTGTTCCATATTTTGATGCATTTTTATGCTTTAGAAAACATTTCTGTCTGAATTTTGGGGGTGCTTGGAACGGATTAGGGCATTTACATGGAAAATGCGTCTTGACTTTTCTAGTTAAGAAATTTCTTCCAGAACCAATTAATTTTGTAAGCAGAGGTACCACTGTACTAAAACAGCAGCCGACCAGGAACTAAAAATGGAGGCTTTCCCACTGGTTTATACAAGAACACTGCACCTCGTCAAAACTGATCTTTCCGTGTGACAAAAGGAAGCCCAGTCTTTGCTTATTTTAAGGAGGAGGAAGAGGAAACAAGATGTGTATTTCACTGTTCAGACACCAAGTGCGCTGTATGGATGAAGGCTTCCTCCATTGTCCCCTTGCCATTACCTGGAAATAAGTCCGCCGAAATAGCAAAAATAAAAAAAATAAAAACACTCACCAGCCCTTCTCCTATTGGAAACACTTTCTGTGCCGCTCTAAACTATCTATTCAGATATTTTCCAAACCGCTTATCCAAAAGTGTTTGAATTGGAGGTGACTAACTGTCGCGGAAGCCGTCTGAGCCACGCAAGTGCCGCCCAGCAACGCTCCATTCAGTGTCACCCGCCTCTCACCGCATACGCAATGAATGGAGTTGACGACGGCACACTGCAAAGTTAAGAGTGAAAATGGCAAACAATGGGTTGGCCAGGCCTGCTCCCGCATATTAGTTTCAAGTTTTGCTGAAATCAAAAAAAAAAAATTGGAGCAAAATCTGTTTTTGGAAGAAATGACCCTAAAATGACTGGCTCAAACCAAAGCGACAGCCTTTTTTCTTTTTCTTTTTTTTTTTTTTGTTGCGTCTGGAGTTCCAGTACTGACACTCAAATGTGCTGTTTTTCCAGTGGGACCAGCCAGTCCAAACATTCTACGCTTGTCATTTTCCAGCCCGACTGCTCATTCCTTCATGTTTGCCTAATTTCTTCTTCAGTTCTTTCAATGACCCGACAAGGTTTGGACTGGAATGAGTTGACGTTGAAGACTGTAATGTTGTGACTGCCTACGCTCACACTGTTTTTTTACCCACGGCCTGTCACAGCTAGCAAGACTCATCTTAAAGTTGAGCACTGAAGCAGCTGAGCAAACAGACATTCCGCCCGTCGCCAACTCTTCCGGGCTGGACTTGAGCTCCAGGCGACGCGGTGAACAAGTAGAGCGTCTGAAATGGACTGCAACGGCTCCACGAGCAGCGTCACCCCGGGGGGTGGGGGCCTCGTGCCACCGCGTCGGTGAAGGCAGCTGCGTCGTGGAGAGACGGGCGTCGTGCCCTGCGGCCAAGTGATGACGAGGGTAATGGTGAGCCGCACAGGGATCCTAAATGGAGCGAGCGACCTTACGCCGAAGACTGGCAACGGCAGATGCGAGCTGACTCCTCCGTCAGATTTTCCCGCACACGTCAATTTACTCGAAAATACAAAAGAGCAGAAGGTCAGGTCAGTCAGCAGCATTAGAAACATGACTGCTGGACGAAAGGACGTTCCATTGCTATCCAGGTTTCTAGGTTCGGTCGGTTGGTCAGTGGGTTGGTTTGTCATGCAGACTGTAAGATAAGCTTGTTGCTTTGGTAGGACTAGGATCTGCTAAAATTATGGTTCAAGACGTACGCAACTACAGTCTCTTAGCCCATCAAGAGGTAGGTGGGTAAGCTGATTAATATGGTTGGAGGGTAGATTGAAAGGTACTGTATGTAGGTGGGCAGCCTGGTAGCTTTGATTAGCCAGTTATGAAAGTAGGATGATCGTGTCATTCGTAGTTTAGCTAGGTGTGTAGGAAGAGTGTCTGCGATGATAAGAGGATAATGCATGTGTGTACAGTGGTACCTCTACTGACGAACGTCTCTTCATATGAAGTTTTAAAGTTACAAAACGTCTCAACAGGAAAATATTGACTCTTGTTACGAAAGAAATTTCAAGATACGAAAGGTAAACATACAGTATGGGCTGTGCCTCACAGTTCCGAGTTTCCTGAACGCAACATACTGATAGCTGCTCTGCCATTGGCTATTACCTGGCATCTTCCTGGCATGCCATTGGCTAAGAAGGGCCTCTACCGGATGTGTCTATGTGTGTCGAGAGATAAATATGTGTCTATGCAGAGTCCCCCTCATTCACCCCCAAGGCCATGAGGTGTTCCGGTAGTTTTAAGCCATTGGAGGATCACCCAGAAAACGTGTTCACCAGTCGGACAATCGCTCACTATGCTGATGTTTGCCTTGGACATTTTCGAAGGATTGTTAAAAGCTGACAAAAGCAAACGTCCTCGGATCGGTTCTTTACAAAACAGCAGGCAAAAACCACTTCTGAGCGAGAACATGAACTAAAGAGGGCAAAAAATGATGAGGACGCAGTTAAAAGTTAAATGACCATCATTTTTATTCTTGACTCTCTTCTTTGTTTTTTACATTAGGCACAACTCTCATTTATTGTCCAATAATCTTATTGTAACATGTATTTGTTACATATTTTGATGCATTTTTATGCTTTAGAAAACATTTATGTCTGAATTTGGGGGCGTCTCTACTTACAAAATCTTCTACTTAAGCAATTTCTTCCAGAACCAATTAAGTTCGTAAGTAGGGGTACCACTGTATTTCGGTCAGTAAGTGTTTAGGTCAATTGGTTGCTTCGTTTTGGTAGGCCGATTGGTTGCTAAGATAGCAAGGCTCGGTCGCTACCTATGGTCGGCGGTTAGGTACGTATGTGCGTAGGGTTAGGTAAGTTGGTTGATCAAGGGGAACCTGATATGAGTGGAATGCAACAGATTTTGTCAATACATGAATGACTCAAGTGGGATGAGATAAATCGCCTTTGGGAGAAAGCAGAATATTACAAAAAGGTCAATTGTGCGTACAAAACAAAAGAACGGATCCTCTATACATAAAACCTTTATTTCCCACTTTGAGAGGCAAGCGAACCCATGGTGACCTCAAGAACTGACGAGAAAAAGGAAAAATATACAATATATAAAGTAGGCTACTTGGAAGCAATTGCACATCAATTATCCTGTCAAGCCGGGGTGGAGTTGTGGGGGAGCAAGAGGAAATATAATTTACGAGCTCCCCGTCAGTTTTTTTGATGTTGTTGTTGCAAGCTAAAGCAATAATACACCTCCACTTGAAGCCGCAGCCTTTCCATATGCCGCCACCTCACCGGGTGGATAAGCCCTATGTGTTTGGTGACCTCAGAGGACACAGTGTCAATTATTATGGGCTATGGCTCTGTGCTGGACTTCATTCCCTTATCAAAATAAATGGCCAGGGCAGCAGAAAGTGAAAGGCATGAAACCATTCAATATTCTTAACCAAAAAGGGCACAAACAAATCCATTAGGACAAGGTAAATGTGACGCTTCGGTGCTCTTGGCCCATTTGAATGGTTCCAGTCAAACCTGACAGGAGCCGAGTTTTCTGCAGCGATGATTTCCAACCAGGGTGCCGTGGCACACGAGTGCGCAGTGAGAGCTCCTCAGAGGTGATAAAATCATGAAGGGTTACTGGAAGTACATCAACGAGGGGAGGGGGAGAGCGCCCTGGATTGAACACATACTTTACAGCAGCTGTGTCATAACGCAAAGTGGCTGTGACTAACCCACTCATGGGGAGATTCAAAGGCAAAAGATTCATCAGTGAAAGCTTTAATGCACCACCACAGCAAGAGAGGCCTCGGCATTAAGCGATGGATTGGAAG